ACCAGTAGAAATAACACTTAATATAAAATAAGAAATTACTTACTTATGACTGCCATAAATTTTTCATTTTGCCTGCGGAACATACATGATTGCAGAAAGTAACACAATTTGGTGGCACTTAACCAGAGGATTATAGCCATCAATATTACATGAACAAGTTCTCCCCCAAGGTAATGAAATCCTTGGATGTATGCCCACAGTAGAAAAAGAGACTGATAAGGAACGGATTTGACCTCTTGATCCTTCAATTTTGAATTGCGACATTGATATTTTAATGGCACAGAGAAACAAGTACGTTACATTTGATCAAACAGCACTACAGATGCTTCTACAGTACAAGTGTTCCTGCTCTACTGCCTAAGCAGCAATCAGAACACCAATGGGTGATACTGTAAGCTTGTAAACTTTATTGATGCTAATCATATGTTGAAATAAACATTTTTGTGAAGGTGAGATTAATACAAGAAGGAGCCGTGGTAGTAGTAGTCATAGAAGTAGTAGTGTTAGTATTGTTATTTGTTATAGTATGTTGTCTGCTGAGACAGTTTCTCAGATGAACAGAGAAGGGGCATTGCATAGCCTCAGGACAAGCACTGTAGAAGTACCATCTCTCATTTTCTTTGTGGTAACTTTGGGGACATTTAGAAGGCAAGCTGCAGAGGACCTAAGGGTATACGTGAGAGGACAGAAAATGATAGACAGTCTGGGATGTAGGGAGGAGTCAAAAACATTTAGTGCCTTAAAAACCTTGAGGAGGACTGCATTATGTTGCAACCTGCAGCAAGGCATACATTTTTGATGAAAAACTCTCTGCACAGACAATCCCTTTCTTTTATGTCTCTTCTGTTTCAGAGCAAAAATAATAGAGAGAAGGTAAACATGGAGCAGACAGCAGACATTTCCACAAAGATCTGTTGCCAAATTCCCAGTTTATATTCTGATTTAATGAGTCCACCTCTCTGTTGAAGGTATTAGTAAAGCTTTCTGATGCTAGGAAAACATCACAAGTACAAATGTTTTCCTACAAGTTATCAGAGTGTATGTGTGTATTCTAGATTAATTGTCACCCAGGTGCGACTAAGCATTGTTCATCACCGAAAAGTGTAATGTAGACTTGAAAAATGGATCATAACATCAACAAAATCTCAACCCACTGGCTACGTGAAAAGCTTAGAATGAGGATTGTTCAGCTTCAGAGCTGGTGCATAGGTGTTAAATGTTGAGCATTTACTGTTGACGAATTGTAAAGTGAAATTTTGGCTTGCTCTAAGCACTGAGATAGGACTATATTCAACCAAAGAAAATCTCGGTCAACTGAAATTTTACCACCTCTTCAACCAATCAAAAAAAAAATCTGCAAGTCACTGAGCGTCTATTCTGGGCCAAGTGTTACACGTTTGACTTTTCTTCTGGTCGCCAGGAATTGAAAATATGTTCAGTTTTGGGTAAAACGCTGTGCTTGTCACCGTCACTTTTTACGTTGCCCTCAAATCACAGTGGAGAAAGGGCAGGACAAATACCACAAAGACCAACCATTAACAACAACAACAGAGGAGAAATTAATACATGTGAACAGGCAGGGCCGTCCCCTCTTGCCACATGCTTCGGCCTTTGCTTTATCAAGTGCAAGTAATCTACCTTGTGCCGACATTCTTCTTCCTTGGATATTCCATATCATAGTGACAGGTTTTCAGTAAGCGCCTGGCGTTTTCAGCTGGTGGACTCATGGCCTTATGAAACTAACACCAGCAGTTGTCCGAACAGTCAGAATTGACCACCCAACCAAATGGTGTCAGCCCTACTAGGATGGTTTTTCAGTCTTTCAGTCTATTGGTCACAGTTGGTCAATGGATGGATTCCCTGACTGGCCATTATCTGACTCTTGCTAGAGCCTACCCTCTGTTCTGTTTTGGTCATCATATGAATCATCATGAAGACATTTCTATCTGCATTTTTTATTCTTGAGTAAAGTTGTATGTCGCTAAAGAGCTACCTGTAAAACAAAATGATTTACTTATTGGTTTTAGAGAGTCAGTTATCAATAGCTTTATTTATAAAGCGCATTACCAAGTGCTTTAACTTAATAAAGCTAAAAACATGTACAATATACAGAGCAGGATAAAATACTTTAAATAGTTACAATGAATACCACCAGTTAATAAAAGCCAAACGATAAAAGTGGGTTTTGAGAAGAGATTTAAAAGATGTTACAGAGTTCGTCTGCCTGAGCAGTGAAGCAGTAAAATCTTAAAATCAATTCTAAAACTCTTAGGGACACTTATGGATGCCAGCTGCTGTAAAACTCAACAGAAGAAGATATTGGGATAGGGCCGGATGTATGTGTACACAATCAAAGACCTCTCTTTTTATGTTCGGGAACATGACATGAGCGTGGAGCTGTTTTTGTCCGGTGCCACTGTTTTGTCATGCATTTAATATTCAACAGGTTTGCGAGACAAATAATGTCTTCTCATGATCTACTTGAATCAGAAACAAGTCACAGATTGGAAATACGTCATGAGCGGATTCTTTGAAGTCTCCCTGCAACGTTACTGCTTTCATTCACAATGCAGCTGTGCCGGCATCTTTTCCTGAAATGTTACTACAAGCTGAGTAGGGAAATTGGCAGTGCTGATTTCCCTGAATATTGATCCCTGCTTCATTCTCACGACACCATGCAGGAAATGTTCCTAAACATTTCAGGGACCGACTGGATGTGTGAAAGGGGCTTAAATTATGTAGAACCTCTATTTGTCCTTGCTGCAAAGGACAAAGTGTTTCTTTATCTTCAGTGCTGTTCCCACACACCTTGTTGAGGTCACACACAGCATTTCCAGAATCTCATATTGCAGTTTCACTAGGTGATAAACAGAATGTCTCTTCACACATATTAGTTCCTTTTCCTGTTCTCTGAAGACTGACATTACCATCATTACCAAGGAGCGTAGACAGAGACTGGATTTACCGAATTGTGCTCCCTCAGCCATGTGTTGTCCTTTCACTCTTTGTTGTCTCACTGTCTCAATTACCATTACTACCTCTGTTTCACGGATGTATATATATAACTATGTTGTTATTCTGCAGTAAACTGAGCCAGTTTGTTCTTTCTTCTTTTATGGCCTTAAATATGTGCAAAGCATATGCTGGAAGGAAATCTTCAAACTGGAAGGCTCCTTGTAAAGCCACATTTACAAATTTACAAGATTGTGATGTTTTGTTTTTATTAAGAAAAACAGATCATCATTATACACTTCACTAAATACCAATAACTTATAAATTGGTTCTGCTTGTCTCATAATGAAATTTGAGTAGTGGTGGGGGGGTTGCTGGGGGAGTGTAGCATGTGCTAATTTCATCACAGATCAAAGAAATACCTCACCTCAACTTTGCCAGCAGCATCAGGCTAATGCATCTCATCCCTAATTGAGGGTCTCTTCCGACTCACAGAGTCAATACAAATGACTTTAATACTCAAACCATTATTTTTTCAAATTATTGTCAAAAAGGCGGGATAAATCATTGACTTATGCCCCATTAATGTCAGAAAATTGCTTCATGCATTTTGCATTATTGACAGTTAGGGGCCTGAAAACAAGTAATGCTAAAGACATAATCTGGCTGTGACCACACTCCTCCTGCCTCTCTCTTCTCCTGGCTTAGACAAACGGGCTCATCTGTACTGGATCATTTGCCGTCTCTTGATACGCTGTGGTTTATAGCCAATTATCTCTTGCGATCCATTATCGATTACAGTGTTATCTTTCCTGCATTGCTTAATCTTTTGGCACAGGAACATAGCAGCTCACAGGGGGGCCTGGATACAAACTGCTTAGCGATGGGAACACTAGTTAAGATGGATGGGTGTTCATTTGCTTGTAGATGGGTACAGTTTAAATTCAAACTCATTCAGACCGTGTTCACTATTAGGAAGGGCAGGGTGTGTTTTTTTTTATTTGAAGCCTTTCCTGTGAGGAATTAAAAACTACAGCAGCCAATTTATTCGAGTGAGTGCTAAACCTTTGTTTGTTTGTTTGTTTATTAAGATCACCATTAGCTTTTGCATTGCAGCAGCTATTCTTCCTGGGGTCTAAATAAATGAATGAATGAGTGATTTCCTTTGAGGTTAATACAATATTGTGTGTGTTTGCTTCCTTCTGTAAATCAACATGGCACACAATACACCAGCAGGACAATAACAACTGACTGAATATTAGGACTGGGTATTGTTTAAATAAGTTATATTACCAGTACCCTTAAAGAGTTACCAATACATTTAGAGTATTTCATTTGATAAGTTTTTTATGCCTCCGAGCCATCCATCCATATGTCTGTCTGTGTCTATCTGTCCTCATTGTTGTAAAAGCTATATCTCAAGAACGCCTTAAGGACATTTCTTCAAATTTGGCACAAATGTCGACTTGGACTCAACAATGAAAAGATCAGATCTTGGTGGTCAAAGGTCAAGGTCAAAGTGACTTCATTAAACATATTTCAAGAATTCATACACTAATTATGTCAAAATTTCACATAAACGTTTAAGTTGTGACATTTTATATCCAAAAGATCAAATGTCCACTTCAGAGTGACATCAGAATGTTCTCGAAAACCATCCATTATTCAACTCTATAACTCAGGAACAGAAGGGGAAACATTTGGTCGGATACTGAGTTGGTGATACTAATGTTGAGTGACCGCCTTGAAGGTGTCTTTAAAGATGTTTAGTGCTGTCCAGTTGAAGATGTATTTGAAGCATACACAAGACTGTGTGGCTTCTTTGCAGCAGTTTCCATATTTGAAGCATTGTCAACCCTGATACCATACAACCTTTTTTCTAGACCTGGATACAAAAAGGTTCCAATGTTGTTTGACTTGAGACATTTCTATACTGTTTTTAGGTATTGGGTTAGTTTGGTCGATACCTTTTAAGGTATCACGTACCAACACTCAGCGTTACTGAATGCTGGCTAACTAATTTTTGTGTGTCTGTGTCTTCTTTCTAGTTGGGTTAACAACTTCGGCCATGAGGGTCTCGGCCTTCTTCTGGATGCTTTGGAGAAGCTGCTGGACAAAAAACAGTAAGTGATCTTTGATGACATCTCATCTCTGTGAATGTTTTAGCACGCTGGGTTCTGTTCATATAATTACAATATCCTTTTCATTAATTTTTCTCAGGCAAGAGATTATTGATAAACGGAACCAGCATAAACTCATCCAGTGCTTGAAGGCTTTCATGAACAACAAGGTTTGTATGAGCCAACAAAGACAAATCAGTCCACCTCTATGATGAAATGATATAACTTGGATGCAGTCCGAAACAACCTGAAATTTGATTTACATTTGAATTTACTGGTATAAATGTAAATATCTAGAACAAGTACAGAGGCCACTCCGCATGCACTTACATTACACACGTTAGGAATGTGTAATAGTAGCTCAGTTGGCCAGCAGGACTCAAAACCTGATTTGAATCTGGACTCTGACAGGCCGGGGATAGCGGTACAGCAAAGTGAAGCTAATTTTACCATTTCAAGCCCACAGTCTCAGATCTTTTAATTACCTTTTTTGGGGAAGGTCTGGCTCATTTCTCAAAAGTGGCACACATTTCAAGGATAGATGAACTATTGATATTGCTTCTCTTAGAGTTAATCCCCACATGTGGTCATCTCTGCCCATTCCTTCAGTTGTGATGAGACTAAAAGTTACAGGAGACTATAAGTATTTGTCCCTATAGTCCTGTCCTGAATTGAATTAATTCATCATTCTCTCCATTTTCTCCCATGGCCTCGTTGTCCCTCCTTAAAAAGAAAATTAAGGCTAACTATAACTTACGTACATTAGAGCTTCTTTGTATAATTCATTTTTTACTTGAAGTGAAAATGCAAATGCTCTCATTAATGTATACCCAATGGACCTTTTCTGTATCCTACCTCCTACCTTTCATGTCTCACAGTATGGACTGCAAAGGATCTTGGGAGATGAGCGGAGCCTGTTGCTGTTGGCACGGGCAATTGACCCCAAACAGACCAACATGATGACCGAGATTGTCAAAATTCTCTCAGCTTTCTGTATTATTGGAGAGGAAAACATGTAAGTTGAAGTCACATTACCCACTCATTTGTCACATTTGTTCTCACACATCGTGCTCTTGCAGACTTTTTGGTGTCTTGCATATCATTAAGGAGTCATCTCCAGATAGCTTACCAAATGCCCACCCACTCAACATGTAAATTATTTCCAAAGAATGTTAGTGAGATAAAAAAATTGTCACAGTTGAGATCACGGAACAGAGAGCTTCAGTTGTATTTGCATAGGTTTCAAAGTATTTGCCTTTTGTTTATTTTATTTAAGTAGGGACAATGGATATTAATTTACATGAGCACCCGGGTCAATCATGTAAATGTGCCAGATTTAGCCATACGGGCTAATTTTCATCGTCGTTCATTCGTCCTTGGCAAGTTGAAGGCAAATAAAAACATTATAAGCAAACATTCAAAAGCACATAAGCACAGACTAACCGTAAAACAATGGCACAACTGTTTGGCATATGAAAATGTTAAAGACAAGCATACAAAAGCATATAAGCAGATATGATTAGTGAAACAACAACATAATCACTACTGCCCCAATAAAGAAGGTGCAAATAGAAATCCACTTGCTGTGCTCATTTTCCATTGGATCTATTTTCATCTGGAGCCAAAGGCAAGAGGTTTTAGTGGTGGACATTTCAAAACCTTTGCAGATAATACGATAGATTGATAGTCTCTGTTTCTACATAATATAACTATATGCACAGGTATTTTTCCACTCACTCAACAGGTAACTTCTGTATGTTTTAAACCTGGACCCTATTTTCCCATGTTGAGTTGTTGAGTCTTTAAGGATGCTTTCAGACCTAGAGTTGTCTTGCTTTGGGCTGAATCAGGGACTAATTTTGTTACAAACTTGCATATTTGCCTAGAGTTGGTTAGTGTTCTCACGGCAGCATTTAAAAGTGGACCAGATAAAATGCCTTGGGTGAGAAAGCTGCTCTCGATTGGTCAGAATTTCCATGTGGGGAAAATCCAGGAAGTAAACAAGACGTTGAAGAAGAGTACACTTGCAAGATAAATGTGACACTCTCTAATGTCACAATGGAGGGACAACTATGTCCACTAAGCATGCTTGGTTTTGCCACTGATATGTTCAGATTATTATTTTAAGTGTGAAGTTTAAGTCTACAACACTATGGAAAGGACCCATACAGAGATATACCTTTATGTTAAAGAGTAAGATTCTTTAGTATAAATGTTATCGCCAAATCCACTAGACCCCATTTAGAGAAACTGTTATATTATCATTGTGAAACACATTCTATTCAAAGTCGACAGACACAAAATCACAAAAACAGTCTCAGTTCGTTCTCCACTGTTCCAACAATCCCCAACTTTGGTTTGGTTGAAATACTGTATTGTTTCTGGTTATACAAAGCGGATCTGTCTCTGGTCCATCTCTGTAGGGATCATTTCCATAATGTTGTTAGACACTTCAAATAATAATCTGAGCCTGTCAGTGGCAAAAACAAGCACTTTAAATGGATGTAAATTGACGTGCAGAAATGCCTAAACTGATTACCCTGCCGCCTGTTTGGCAGCTGCTGGCTGCAGCGTTCTCGCTCAATACTGGACCAATTTCAAAAACTGCTGTTCCCATTAGTCACTTAGACACAATAACATGGGAAATTAAGGTCCAGGTTGTAAAATACTGAGGTTACCCTTCAAGGGTATGTTGTTTTGTAATTTGGATGAAGTGACCCTTAAAGTTCTTCTGTCTAACCTCAATTTAAAGTTGTTAGTAAGTTTTCAGGATTCAGAGTTGAGTGAGGGACACATTTCCGTCTTTCTCAGTAAATCACAGCTGATACGGAGACAGCACAACACCAATTCAAAATCCTCACTGATGACCAAAAAAAAAAAAAAAAAGAAAGAAAAAGCGATGAAAGAGATACAGTCCATCCCTGCCATGTTTACACGCTCTGTAATGCTGTGAGAGGAAAGGAGACGGCTGCATCTTGTAAACACTGAAATATCGCTATTGCTTCAATGTTCTCCCACTGGGCAGATGGAGATTGCACCGCATGCATACATGTTTACCCACTGTGAGCATATACTACATTTACAGATGACCTCAGAGAGTGTAGACATTAGTCGGGTCACATGGTCAAAATGATGCAGTTTAGTCTGTTTAATGTGTTGAACTACTCAGTGTAGTTTGCCACGGACACACAGCCTAGCTGACAGCTTATAAATTGGATTTAGGGGAGTGTTTTTTATTGTTTCCCACAGGGCCAGACTAGAATAACAATGGCACTTCAAAGTCAGTCTGTATGCAGTGGTGGAAATAAACAAACCCACAAATTCTGTTGGAGAAGCTGAGTTCAGCACTGTGTCTCACATCTCTGACCATCCAAATAGGCCTTTATGCTTGTGGTACTGTGGCTGTGCATGGTTTCCAAAATCTGTTTTTAAGTTACATACTATAAAGAAGAGTGAATTTTTAAGTTCAACATTAATTTAATCCAACTCTGTTCAGATGATTTGATTAAAAAGTAATCTATTTTTATTCATTGAATTTTGTAAAATCACAGTTATACTCAGTAACTGCTCCTAAAAATGTAAATCCAGTGTTTATTATACATAAACCCTTAAGTATTTTTCTATGAAAACAAAAGGCAGCCTTTTCACTCATATAATATTTAATTAAATATTGTCTATTACAGTCATCTTAACACTCAGACACTGACTTCCTGCTTGCATACTAACACACACAACTATATTTAAGCAGATACTGGGTTTACAGATAGATCTCTGCATTTTAAAAGTATTCAAGAATAGGTTGAACTAAACATGGAAATCTTTGCCATGATCACAGCCCTGCTTTAAACTGTACGTATCCTGTAGAAGTGACAGCCAAAGGAGCTGAGGCGTCACTTTCTTGCTCAGAAACTTCTTTGCCAACCAATGTTGTGACGCTGGCTCATGTTCAACACCCACTTCAGCTGACAGCATCAAAAGGAAACACGACAAGTTAAGCAGATCTATCTCGCCTGTTTTGAAGCGTCGTCTGAACTGGCTTTAGATTTACTCAGTATGCAGCTCCCCGTGCTTGTCTGCGACTCTGTAACCCCTATCACAGAGGCATGGCCGTTCCATTTATCTCTGTGTCAAGCTTAGTTCACACATACAGTCCTTTTGGTCAGACACATGATCTCCCTCTCTCACAAAGTAAATGCTCGTGTTTTGTCATTCTGAAAGTGTTATTTTTAGGGGGGGTTGATAGAAGGTAATAAAGATGGCAACAGCAGGCATATGTGAGTTACTTAATATTCAACTATTGGGATATTCGTTAATGGCGTAGGAATCCAACTATCAGTTTGGGGAATTGGATATTAATTAATTTATTTTTTGTTATTTATTTGGCCAAAATGATAAGAAAGAAATTATAAATAAGTATTAATCTCAAAGTTTCCATACACTGATATATCACTCCCCAGCATCAACAATGACTGCGACATTTTTATTTTATTTCATTTTACTGTATTTTTTTACTATTTAAAATGGTTAAAGGAGCTATATGTAAGAAATCTAAAGCAAATAATCGTAAATTCCTCCTAATATGTCACAGAGACTAAGGAATAATGTTCATATAACATACTGATCTCACCGACAACAATAGTACAGCCAGAATATTCGCATTTAAAATAAATTTTTACGGTCCGCAAATCATGTTTATGTTTTGAATTTGTGTTTTGGCCTGTTGCGCCACCCACCGCCGTCTACCAGTCACGCATTCAGTAGAGTCTCAGCATCAGTTACAGACTGAGCTACAGCAGCACGGCAAGCAGCATTAGCAGTGTCCTAGTACATAGCATTAGCAGTCTCCTCAGCTGTATCCCGGCAGCAGCGTTAGCAGCAGAGAAGCTGGACTTGCTCGAACGAACACCGAAGATCAAGGATGCGGCGACGCAGCCCTGCCACGGCAGCCGCCTGTGGGCAAACAAATCAGTCTCCAGTGTGCTGCTGTCCAGCAACCTTGAATCTGTAGGGGAGGGGCGGCAGTATTTTGAATTTGAGTGCAGTAACCGTTTTGGCCACATTCTTACATACAGCGCCTTTAAAATCTTATTTTATTGTAGAGCTACGGGCAGCCACGTCTTACCCCATTCTCTCTCTGTTTATCAGGACTGCTCTGCTCCGCACTAGGGACAGTTAACAAGGGTCCGCCTGCACATATACATTGACACGCTCGGGCAAACTTTCTGCATTGAATTTCCGCGGACAGTTACGGTAACATGCACACTGTTCTATTCACAGTACAAATTAGGGTCCGCGTAAGCCCCAAGCAGTAAAAACGACAGCTTAGAGGTGAGCTTACCGTTCTTACACTGCCGATGTCTGATATTGGTGAAAGTAGAGGACGCCGCTGAGTCTGGAATGAATGTCTGTCCAACTTAAAAACCAACTTCACCATGGTGAGGTAGCTGCAGCTGGCGTGACTGCAGTGTTTTGGACTGGACTTGAATTTGTGACAAAATATCATAGCATGTACAGTCGGCATGCTCGGTATGCATAGAATCTGCATAGTCACCAGAAATGGGCTGCACCTAGAAGTTGCAGAAGTGTACATGATGACGTCACGCAGTCCAAAGTGGACACTTGCAGACATGCAGACACAGAAACAATGAATCGGCCCTTACTGTTAGCATTGCACGGCTTAATTAACGGACTAATAGTTTTTAACAGGTTTAATGACAGAGTCAAGCAGTTTTAATGTCGGTGTGACTTTCCAAGAACTGTTTAATGGCCCGTTGGATGTAAAAGCTTCTGCTGTGTTAGCTCGTGCTAAGAGGAGGGGCGTTAAACTAACCATTTGCCACGAGGAGAGCGGTTTAACCTGTGTGACAGAAACACTGAATCCTATAAATAGAAATATAAAACTGTCTAAAATTAATTTAACCATAAGAAAAAGTGTTACAAGCTGTAATACATAGGATCTCATTCAACCAAACTTGCATATAACACACCCAAGTTTCTTGGAAAATGATTTTTAACATTTATTAGTAAACATATTTATTTGAACAGTGAGGTTAACTTGTAAATCAGGCTAAGCGCTCTTAGTACCCAGAGGGATAAGAAGGTTGACAACAGGGCTTTAAGCTCTTCAGTCTCTCAACTGATGAGGGGAAAATATGGCCTTGCAGTGACAGAGAGACCACCTGTTGCCAATTACTATGGACGCATTTTGTAAATCACTGTTTACAAAAGTGCTCATAAGACATCAATTTACTTTCATTGCAGTCTGAGTGTGTGTTTTTTTGTGTGCAGCTCAGAATTCTCTTTCATTCACAATTTAGATGCTGAAATTGTCCAATGCTCTATTTAGCAGAGCTGCCTTGAGCCCTTTGCAAGTACTCCAATTTGCTTACTTTCTCAATAGGTGTATTTGCACATTAGTCTGGCAGTCCCTGCAATAATACGCACCCTTTCTCACCCAGACAAATAAACTCTACCACAATTGCTTTGACAAGTGAACACATTTTCAGTAAAACCCTGCTTTTTGTCTCGCATCACCTTAGTAACAAGCATGATGAGGTCAAAATTGGATACTGCAGCACTAATGGACCGCATTGCATTCAAAGAGATGGAAAGCAGTAGCATTTGTCAGGGTGACCAAAGACTGGCCGAGCAAATGTCCACACCAACCCACAAGGGAAGATAAGATACATGGTGTTTGAGCTGAAAATTGTGAGTAAATGTCCTGTCAGTGAGGTGATAAAAGTGTTTGTTGACTTTTGTGTTGTGCTTGCTCCCTGTTCCCTGTTTTCTTCCAGCCTGGATAAGATTCTAGCTGCCATGACAATTGCTGCAGAGAGGAACAATAAAGAGAGATTTGCTCCAATTGTGGAAGGACTGGAGAACCACGAAGCCCAGCAGCTCCAGGTTAGGAATCACACATAAAAATACATCACTGTCTCATATTCATCATGCATTCATCGCTGCCTTTCTATTAGATTATATGGGTCTGAACCATGAAAATGACCTTTTATGCTTCAGTGGGCAATACAGTAACCACTGTTACTCCTCAGCAGTGTTTTGGATACTGCGTTAGTCTGTGGAACAGTATAATATTCAGGATGCTATGTATACCAAGTGGCAAAATCCAGGGCTGAAAAGTGAAGCCAACGCAGCAGTGCCAAAAAACTGTAGTACCTCCAGTGGCCACTTGAGGCTGGCTCCAAGAGCAGGTCAATCCCCATAGACCCCCATGTTAAAATTCCCAACTTAACAGTAGAAATTAACATGTTTACAGCCTGGTACAAAAACAAAAAGCTAAAAAATAGCTAATTTCCTGTTCATGACAACTGCACAGGGGTGAATTTTTATGTAACTCATCGTTTTAACGTTATTTAGCCTTAATGTTATGCATGATTTAGGGCATGGCTGCTTAGATTGACAGGTAGCTGTAGTCCTTTGACAAGTCGCTACCACAGTGCCAGCGTAATTTAAGTGACGTAACCATGGTAACCCCAGATTCACAGAGTGTAGGTGTAGCAGTAGCCATCACTATTTCAGTGCATTTACACTTAATGAAAGTTAATTGTAATGTTTTGGTCACCGAAAAAAATCTTGTTCAGCATTTGGTTGTGCTAAAAGACCATCCAAGGAGTCGCATTTTTAGTTTTTCTGCTAAGTACATTTTGTTTTAATGGTTTTAAGCCTGTTTTTCACCAGCAAAAATTAGCATTAGCATTATCACAGTTACCCATAGCTGTAAATGCACCAAGCAAGAAGCTAGCGTTAGGGTTAGCTCCACCCCTTCACATCTGAATTTGGTCAAAAGATGCTCCAAAAATCCAAGATGGCAACAGCCAAAACGCCAAACTCAAGGCTTTAAAATGGGAGTTCATAAACGAATGGGTGACGTCACTGCAGCTACGTCCATCACTGTGTACAGTTTATGAGTCATGCACACTGATTTGTTCTACCCAAACCTAAGAGGAAGGGAGCACCTCATTAATGAAAGCAGGAGTTGGCTGTGTACAGTGGGCAGAAACCTGGCACAGGCCAGTGTCAGACAAATTCTGTTTGGATGCCAATAAAGACTGAAAGTGACAGTTGTGTCACTTCGGGGCCCACTGTACCTCAGCCTCAGCTGTCCTCATACATGTGTTTTTCTCTGCTTCTCCTACTGTCTTTGGGTCCACTTGTCAACCCCACTGCACCTCTTGCACATGATGGGATGTGATCACTGGGCTATTAAAATGCACCCGGAGCTCCATCGCCACCGCTTTAATCAAAAACACCTGCTTCATTGAGCACCCCCACTGAACTACCCCATTCTTTTTGCAAACACCAGAAAAATATATTAAAAACAGCAGAGATTTTGAGTTCTTGAGGAGCCTTTTGTCTTCCCTCTCTCTTTCTCACACTTTCTCCTCCTCGCTATCATGCTCATTTTTTCTCACATCTTACAAATACTTCCCCTTGCTTGTTTTTTTTCCATGCTGCTGTCAAGTTGGGTCTCAGAGGACTCGGTGTGAAAGGGCAACTGAAGCACCATACTGCTCTTCGTTTTCTTCAGCAGCAGGAAAAAAACTATACAACAGCAATAAAAACACTGCTTAAAACATGTTTTTTTGAAACCAAAAGCAGGGAATTACTTAAGGAATTACTTTTTTAACTGCAGGGATTGTGAAGTCATGAAGGAAGAGTCATGAAGGAAACTGATGAGGCGGGTGGTGGAAGTGAAAGTAGATATTCTTTTATTAGGAGGCTGTTGTTTTTCCTTTAAATTTTGCCGTTAATGAAATGAAGCTCTGCTAATTGTGAAGTAAATTAAAATGCTTTGCTGATGCAGGGGGTTCAAGGAAATTAATAGACTTTTTATCCAAAACCTGTGATGGGCTGTAGAAGTAGACTTCGCTAATGTGATTAAAATGTGTTTTGCCGTAGTTGAGGCGATGCTTGTCTGCTGAGCGCAAGAGAAACTCCGCACTTCAACTTTAAAACCGTCCCAGCAGTGCCACTTTTAATTACGATGTTTGGAACCCCCCCACATGGCACCACCGCAGCTCTCTAAACCCAACATAGATAAACCCCCCCCCCCAACACAACCACTTCCCACTCCACAGTACATGGCGGAGGTATGTTTGAGGTGCTTGATGTAAATCTCTATGCAGGAGAAGAGAAGGAATTTTTCATGAGCTCCATGGCTTTCTTCACTCACATAAATTCTGTGAAGATTTGGTGGAGCTTCTTTTATGTATCTGGCCTCTGGTGGATACAGTAAAATGTCAGGTTTCAATGCACAGATCTTGCTTAGAGGCTCTCAAGCTTTTGTGGAACACAGAGAAGTATGCCATGTTTCTGGCGCAACACAGTCACTGGTGCTGCCTCTTTTACTGCAACAAGCTTGTGCTTTCCCAAAGGAGTATACATCGTAACAGTATATCCGTATTGCATAATAACATGCATTTTTCCTCCATCACCTGACTAAGAAATGGGTTTGTTTTATTGCTGCCTCAACTTTACGGCAACAGAAAAACAAACCAGTACTGATAATTTAAGAAAACGTCTTTGCGCCTTTCATCAAACGGAAACTTTGATAACGCTGATATATTTAATTGTAGCGCTTTATTGGACACAAGTGTCAAAAGGATGTATTTTATAGCATGTATGCAGAAGACATTGCATGCAGGGATCTTCAGTTGTATGTTTCGGTGTTATAATAAAAACGTTAACCCAGAAATATAATAAAACTGATGCAGTAAACCGCACAGAAACAACACTGCTGTGGCCCTTATTAATAACACAAGGCAAACAGTACAGGGTCAAGGTTTCAGAAGACAACGTTTCACATTGTCCATGGGAATCCTTCAGGCTGCTATCGATTGTCTGTCCAAGGAAAACTGTCTTATCCATGGCTTGCTCCCCTGAAACACCTTACTGCTCATTATAATTCATCAGCGATTTCCTCTTAGCCCCCTTCTCTGCCCAACACACACACACATACACACACACACACACACACACACACACACACGCACGCATTGAGGCTTTTTCCTTTCCAATAAATCCATTAATAATGCACATCTAGTCAATAGACACAGCAGACCTGGACTTTCCACCATCTCTCTTCTTGTCTCTTTCTCTCTACCTTTCTCTACTCATCGTTGCAATCTGTTTCTGTAGTTTTAGTTTTGGGAAGAGAATATTAAGAGCAAATTATCACTCATAAACACATGTTTATATTACAAAGACCAAACATTACATTTATAATTAAACTATATAATAATCTTGTATTGATTTATTTTGCAAGAATTACCTCTTTTGTGTCTCTTTCTCATGCGTTTCTTTGTCATTTAATCCGTCTGCTCCACAGGTTGCCTGCATGCAGCTGATCAACGCCCTGGTCACCTCCCCCGATGACCTCGACTTCCGGATACATTTACGCAATGAGTTCTTGAGATGTGGCCTGAAGAAGATCCTACCTGTGAGTTATCAAACTGTCTCGCACAACATAGTTGGATTATTCACATGCATGAAAAGTTCTGCTCCTGACTTTGTAAAAGAGGTTGTAGCCAAAACATTCACTCTTACTGTGTCAATCAATAAATTCAGTCAATCAGTTTAGGTCAGCTTTGTCAAACTTGTCAGAAACACAGAGCGGTTTGGCCTTGGTAATTCTGAACCACGAACCTTGTCTTATTTTTACCAGTACAAGTTCTAGGCTCCTTGAAAACATTATGACTCGTCCTAGCAGATTTGTAGCCTTACAGCATAACTCATTACAGCTTTAAAGTATGCCTGTGAGGTGTCCAACTAGAATTTCTTAGACTATAGTTACAGCTACAGTTCACACCTAAATCAAAAACACACATTTTTCCTCTAATCTGTCTTGGACAATGTGCTTATCTCCTGATTTGGTGCTATCACAATATTGGGGCACCAATTTGAAGTATTGCAATAAACAAGAAGGTCCGTCCTTGGACCATCAGCCATTTTCTGCTTTTTTTGCTTCCGCCAAGTCAATCCTGGGCAATATATCGACTATATTTTGATATTGTAATATGAGATTATCATTCCACAGCACAGTGGTGCAGTGGTTAGCATTGTCGCCTCACAGCAAGGGGGTTCCTAGTTCAAACCCAGGGTGGGGGAGCCCTTCTGTGCGGAGTTTGCATGTTCTCCCTGTGTCAGCGTGGGTTTCCTCCAGGTACTCTGGCTTCCTCCCGCAGTCCAAAGACATGCAGGCTAATTGGTGACTCTAAATTGTCCGTAGGTGTGAATGTGAGTGTGAATGGTTGTCTGTCTCTCCGTGTCAGCCCTGTGATAGTCTGGTGACCTGTCCAGGGTGTACCCTGCCTCTCGCCCAAGGTCAGCTGGGATAGGCTCCAGCCCCCCTGCGACCCCTAACAGGATAAACGGTTACGGAAAATCAATGAATGTAATATGAGACTAGATATCATCCCAAGGGCTGGGGGATATTTAGAAAATAGAGTATCCCAATATTTTTGACCAAATACCTTGATGTTGATATTGCAACAATATTGTAGGGTTGACTATCTGTGCTTTTGCAAAATATTTACGCAATGAGATTTTTGATTAATAATCATCAGTAATGTGAATATAGTGACTAGGTGGGTAAGGGCAAATAACAGATCAGCTAGAACTGTCTGGTAAGTTCAGAAAATGTCATCACTTTACTGTAAAACAGCCATTACAACCAGGAAAAGAAACTCTTAGGATATTCAAAATCTAAGATTAAGCCTTGTCTCATATAATGGTATCGCTATAATATTGCCCAGCCCTAAACCAAATAATCAGGTGCCACAGGACACAAATGACATTAATGAGAAAAGGTTTTACTATTGTTAATTTAATAAATAATAGTCGTAGTGGTGTTACAAGCAGTAGTAGCTTGTGTCAAGTGTGATGCAGTGCCAGCAGCTCATCACACAGGTCGTTCTGGCATCATTATCAGCAGGCCTACACATCCACTGAAGGCAAACGAGCTCCAACTCATCACTCAGGCTCTCATTTGTAGCGAGTGGGGTGAGCGTGTCACAGAACCAGTTGTTAATAAGTCATCCCAGCTGCTCCTGTTGATTATTACTGTCATTACTTTAATTATCTTCAATTCTGCCCCCTGATATGAAAGAGTCTCGGTGTACAGCCATTTATGAATGCCACGTTCACTGCTTTTAATGCCGACATTCAAACTGACACTCGTTCATCTAATTATGAGTTATGCTCGGGAGCCGGCGAAGCTGTTGGCAAAGAAAAAGTGAACTCCACTAAAAAAAAAAAAAAAAAAAAAGAGCACAATTTGTTTTGTTCTTATAGTCCTTGACACATGTATTTGGCCCTCCTCTTCTCCTTCCCCCTTTTTTTGTGGCATTGTGCACCTCCCTCCGAACCTGTGTTGCTCAAGACAGATGGTGCACCCAAAAAAACAGTGCAGGGTGATTGATACCTGCAGAAATTGGGTTACATTTGGCCCTGTCTCAGTCTGTAAACTCCACTGCCGGTGATTCATAGAGAAGTGGTAAAGAGCACTGCCGTAACCCCTCGTGGCTGGAACAGGTGTGCAGGAATAGGTACTGTCTGGAATACCTAGTGAGAGTGTTCAGGGCGTCTCAGTTCACAGTTCCTCTAAAGCTGGAACAGGGAAACTAATATTCTAGTATTACTATTTTTACAATAGGCCTGATTAACAGTGACACATAAAAGTTTTAGCAAGATTCAGAAATATCAATACTGGAGTGATGAATGGTTAAAAGCCATATCTAAGTTATTCTTCGCAGGTGTTAGGACTCTTTATCACAATCTACATTGCAAGATGACCTTTTGTACAACTTCATTTTCTTAGCTATCTGCTGTGTGTCTAACTCATTGCAGGAGCTAAAAGAGACAGAGGAGCTCGACATCCAGCTCAAGGTGTTCAATGAGAACAAGGAGGAGGACTCCATTGAACTCTCCCATCGCCTGGATGACATCCGCGCTGAGATGGAATATCCTTTCTTCCTCCCTCTGTGTGAATATACAGATGAACAGGCCTGCAGAGCTAGCAGTGAGAGATGAGTGTATACTGTGGGTTTGGTCAAGCTTTACTAAAGCCTTTCATGGCTTGCTTCATTAGAGAAGGATTTGAGGAGCCAGAGCACGATATCCAGCTCCATCTCTGACCAGGTATACTAGGTAAATAACCCAGTCATCTGAACCACCTTCCACCTTCTTCCACCTCCTCACTCTTCTTTCTATTTACTCTTCTCTTCCTCTCCTCTTCACTTTTTGTCCTTGTCTGAGTACTTGGTTAAGTAGGGTTGTTGTGAGACTCAGGAGAAAGGTATCAAGCAGACATGTGTTTTCCTATTTTTACCATTTACTATTCACAGTAGACAATTAAACACTTTTATGTGGAGGCATATTATATCATAAGGCTTCTCCAGCTCAGTAGAAATGTGAATTTTCTCCCCCAGCACTCTGCCATCGTCCATTTAAAGGGTAACTTTGACATTTTTCAACATGGACCCTATTTTCTTATGTTTCTGTGTGTAGGGTTTTACCTGACTCAGAATTGTCAGTCGAGTCAGATTTGCATTGATACAGATAAGATCGGATCAGATTCGTTATGCTTTTTTCCCATGTAGAGTTTGAAAGTTTAAACGGGGTTCAACAGCAATGGTCATGTAATATCGCACCCTCAAAGCTAATACGTGCTAACTGCGCTAACAATGGGTCCGAAACATTCAACAGCATATTTCCTGATCAAACAAAAGCCAGAGACATTTTGTATTAAATTGCCATGAGCTGTAAATTCACCACTTCTAAGCAGAGGGCAGAAGAAAAGTCTATCTCCGAGCCTGACCGCCTCTTTTCCTCCAGGCAGCTTCTGCAGTCTCACTCAGACTCACCCTGGCACCTGGTCTGCAGCTGCCTGTACTAGAGAGCAGCCTGAATGTGAAGAGTGCTCACATTCAGGCTGCCCTCTAGTACAGGCAGCTGCAGAGAGCAGCCTGAATGTGAAGAGTGCTCACTCTGCAGCTACATCTGGGGACCAAAACTTCCCCAGGAGTACACTGCACACTGACTGAAGTACGGCTCGAGTTGAAGAATCAGACGACTGAGGGGTCTCTGACTTATAATCTCAATCTTTGACTTGAAGTGGGTAGCCCTGTAATAGACTAATGGAATAAAGATTTTTGAAATCGGTCCAGTGATGAGCGAGACTGCTGCAGATGGCTGTGATAAAACAGGCTGCAAAGTAACAACTCGGGGCATGAGTCATGGACTGAGCGCCCTGACGTGTGACTGTGTGTTTGAGAAGTTACAGTGAAAGGAGCAGAGATGGTGGACTATTGTATGCAGTATTTCAGTAATGTATTAATAACTTAATTGGGATGCTGCTTTGTGACTTTCTGACCCATCTCCAGGAACCCATGATATTTTGCCAGTGGTTTTAAAAAAGAAATAGAAAAAATGGCAGTCAGCCCAGTGGTTTCGCTACTGGCTGCAGGGTCTCGCTCAATACTGGGCCATTTTCAAAAACTGTTGTTCCCATTAGTCACTCAGGCACAAAAACACGGGAAAATGAGGTCCAGGTTGAAAAATCTCAAACTTACCCTTTAACTCCAAACAAGTAGGAGTTGATAAGGTGAGCAATAATTTAGTCCAGAGTTGAAAACTTCTTCAAGCATCCCAGAGAAGACCCCTTTAATAATTCACAAATCTTCTCTGAGGCTATGTATGAATGGCTGACATTGTGAGCAGACAAACTCAGACGCTGACATTGTTATGCAGATGTTCGTTCCCACAACCTTTTTCTTCCACCAAATCCCAGAGTTCTAGTACCGGCACAAAGTGCTGCCGTGAGTGACAGTTTCTGTTGACACATGTAGGTGAGGGGAGGAGGTCGTGTGCGTGTGTGTGTGAGCATCGAGAGAAGATGGAGAGAAAAAAAGTGCACCTGGATTAATGATGTGCTTGAGCAGGTTCACAAATGAGAAGGCCCAATGTTTGTTTCCAAGGACAATGTGGTATTGATCTGCGGGTTCTGAGCATGAGTCGAATGCCTAGGCTACCCTTTGTCCCTTTGCCTGCATAGCACACACACGCACACACACACAAGCACACACGCACACACATATATGCATGATACCACGCTGATAGTATTTCTACTACCTGAGCATTGCATATGTGTCGTGTTTCTCGCTGCAGCTTCATGAATATTAACCTGGAGAGGCTCCTCTGTGTCCGGCCCAGGTCCAGGTGCCGAGGAGGTGACTCCAGGCCACTAATAAATATTAATGAGCTGTGGAATGGTGATTGATTGACCCCACCACTGACTGGCCTACGTCACACTTGACTGCCACTCATGTTTATTCATTATTTGGAGAGGGAGTGTAAAGAGAGAGACAGAGAGCGCAAAAGAGAGCGTAGAGGGGGTGTCATCGAATGGATTGGCATTCTACATTAGGTTTATGTCTGCAGCTTAGTGATAGATGAAGCTAGTTGGACACTTTCCCAGTCTGAGCTCCTGCTCATGTCCTCTCAAATGCTGCTGTGGTGAGGCTATAATTGAATCTCACAGGATTGGTAATTCTCCCAGGCTTCATACTCAGCTAATACAAGGGAGGGAAATGATACTGCAGAGCAGCCTATATTCCCATCCCTCTCTCTCTAAAAATTTGATATGGGATAGGAGTTTAATTACAGACATTGTTGAAATTAATAGGAAAAGTGTCAAACAGTATTTAAAAGAATTGATCTTCTCCAATTGCAGCGGCTGCAGATTGTTTTGTGTGGATGATAGCATGGGCAATGGAGAATGCAGTTAAGTGCTTTTTTCCTTTTTTTTTGGAGGAAATAAATTATCTGAATTATTGTTGCTCTCTCACAGAGTCATCCTTCATTAGCTGTTGATGAAACCTGACAAATAGCATTAGGAAACAAATAAAGCATTGACAACATTTTCAGATCAACCCTTAAAAACATGTAAGATGGACCCTACTAAGCCCCTCCCACCAAACGACCACAGGCATTGGCACATGCCTCGTACGGTAGCCCAGTGTTTTCCATACATTGATTTATTTTATTTGATGTCAGTGTAAAATTGCACACTGCACATTCACTCAACCCCTCTAAGCCCTGCTCTCTCCATCTCTGTTTATAAGACCAAAAATGAGACAAGGATTAGCAAGCTAACGTTAGCCACCCCACCATCCCTTCACCTCGCTCCCCGTCGCTGTGAGCAGCTACCCAGAGAGGAGAGCTGGCAGCAGCCCAGGAAACAGACCTTTTGTTGGCAGCTGTAGCATCTTAAATTCAGCCAGCGCAAAAATCCCTCCATCACAGGGTATCAAAGTGACAGCTGCCCAGCAGCAGCTCTGAGTCTTACCTGTTAGCACCTAGCGGGGAGTTGGGGCTGTCCGGTCCCCTGGAGCTGGGGTTTGCACTGTCGCTGACTGGAGTTCAGTCTCCGGAGCTGCTGCCAGCTCTCCTTCCAGCGAGGTGGTTTGTAGGAGTGGGGAGTGATGCAGAGGACACGCTGTGATTCAAGTCTCTAGCTAACGTTAGCTAGATCAACAGCAAAGTAAACATAAAGCCGCGGCTGTGAGCCTTTTGCTCTGATTAACAGAAGGCTAAACTGTTAGCAGCATTTTCTCTCCATTTCTGAAACACTTTCTCATTAATGACAGGGGTTTTGTTTATTGTCAGACTCTCTTATTGACTCTTTTTGATTGCCATTGAATCTGGCTTTCACTAAAGGGACATGGAAGCACATCTGCATTTGTAGAGCAGCCAAAATGAATGCCCTCTTTTTGAAATGACCTTTGATTTGCCATAGTCTCATAGATTTTCCAAAGCCTGAAAACAGAGCCAAGAGAAGGTGCAGAAGTCTAGCTGTCACTCAGACCACTTGAATTACAATATCCTCAAGGTTCATTATGGGATATCTGTGATGCCTAAATAAAACTGCCTACCCCAGCTTTAATTAGGCTTTAATTTAGTCTCAATCCTCAAGCTCATTCACCTTATATGAAGTCTGTTTTGCGTGTGCTCTTCACTGATATTGTCAGTGCCAAAAGCAGAAGGGAGGGGAATTGCAACATATGCTGCCACCATGTTGAAAGTATCTTGAAAGCATCACTTCATTGCTTTGCAGTCACTGTGTAAATATTTTAGCACGCATTGTCAGGATCCGCACTTCATGTTATGATGGCAATCAGGATTTCATCACTGCGAGCTTAACAGGGTACTGTCTCCTTAGTCTTTTTTTTTCTGCATGTGTGCACATATCTGAGAGGCTTATTCCACTTTTTCAAACAAGATGAGTCTCCACGGGGAAATCCTCCTTTTTTCAAGCAAACAAATTAAATAGGCTCCAAATCATTCATTTTCCTGGGTTCTTTGCTTCTTGGAGCTACACTTTCAGGAACACTAATAGACGTTTTAGGAACACAAATGTAATTATTTCTAGATTAACCTTGTATTACAAATCAGCCATTAACTTAGAGATTGAATTTTGAAATATGTTTCAATGTACGTGCTTATCCCCTTCTGTAATGCATGTCATATAGTCCTTACATTGTTTTGATTCAGTCACTTTCAGTATCAAACAATATTTGTTTCTTTGACATCCCAAGAAATACCTTTTAAAACAAATACTCAGCAAATAATCAATTTAGTATGTGATATTTGAACATAGAAAATAAAGATAGACAGTCAGATTTATGATCTGTTTTAGCTGTCAAAGCCATCACTACTTCCTCCTGGGAAAAGCAAACATAAGACACATAATCAATACCTTTTGCAGTTTTAATAACATGAAGTTTCGCTCCTGAGTATATGTCAGTTTCAATCTGAGTTCTGGAATTCAGCCATATTTTTGTCCTGCAAATGATCGGCTCCCCATCATCCTCGCCTCAAACATTCAAACCAGCGAGTTTTTCATGTAATTAATTTCCTCTATTGTGAAAGGTTTAGAGTGACAGGTAAACCAGAGGGAGTATTCTTTATTACCAGTCCCCCTCCTCAAGTTAGCTGCTTACACTGTTTTAGCTCCCCCAAGAGAGCACGGATAAGAGAAATCACATCTCGGTTTGCCTCTGCACAATGATGCCTGTCAGAAAGGCTGAAGAACTCGGGGGGGGGGGGGGGATAAATAAGTAGTTATAAACAAAACAAGAACTAATAAATATGTAAATGTTTAGAAGGACTTGAAGCCACCTGAATAATGAAGTCAAATCGGGTGTTTGCTCAGGAAGTTAACCTCAGCTGTGAATGAATTTGACTTGGAAACCTAAACAGTAGCACTGTCATGAAAGTGTTTCCCTTAACCCTTCTCCTGTACTGATATGAATGAAGTGTACCATCTCCTGTCCAATATGGTGAAAGACACGGGCTCGGAGGCCTACTTCCTGTCGGTCCTGCAGCACCTTCTGCTCATCAGGAATGACTATTACATCAGGTAAGTTGTGTTTTATTTTTTACATACATAGGGTGTGTTCACACCTAAACTGTTGAGTTCAGTTTAAACAAACTTTGATCTGTTTGCCTGATTAGTATGGTTCGTTGAGTTTGTTTAGGCTGCTGTTCAGGCTGTCAGTTGGACCTTGTTGTGGACCAAACATTTGAACAGATACCACCTGAAAAGATGGGTTTCAATTCGCTTACACACACACACAAACCAACCACAGCCACAGTCCTGACTTCACGATTTCAAAAGCTAAACTACTAATAAATCCATCGTATAATCTGTCCAAGATCTCATAATTGATCCCAAAATAGGGCTTTGTTAGGCCTATAACCTATTTATACTAATGCAAACGTGTAACCATGGTAACACTTATGCAGCAAGGTTATTTCCCCTGATTAAAAAGCTTTTAAAACTGCCATGATTGTATCCGACTCCGTTTACTTTGTCAGTTCATTAAGTCCATTAAAAGTGTGTGACAGCGATCCCACAGTAATAAACCCTGAATCATTACCGCACAAAACGCCTCCTTTTCATCCTGTTTTTACGTCAGTCATTAGTCATAACGTGTGATCGATTTGCAGTCTAATAAAAGCCTACCGATAATGCTAACAATCAGTTATTTCTTTATGAGCTCTTTGTGACACCGAAGAACATTACTACACACATCAGAAGCATTAAAGTTCTGTCAGTCACTGGAAGTTGATTTCCCCTAGTGTATTCTCATGGTGCAGGGTCTCAAGCTGTCCAATCTGCGAGTTACCTGTAAGTCAGTATGACCTCATGTTTCCTCATTTTGGTTTGTTTGTGTAAAGTCAGTGTGACCAGTAACTGGACCAGAGTGTGTAATGTGAAAATGTATCATTTTCTCCCCCTGGTCCAGACCAAATGAGCCAAACTACAGGTGTGAAAGTACCCACGCTTACTGACTGATAACCTCATGATGCTCTACTATGTGTCAGTGTGCTTTGATAGTCTTAGCTTTGTTTTGTTTGTTTGTTTGTTTTTTAACAGTGGATATGAAACAGCTCATACAGCACTGTGAACATATTTGTTCATTACTCACAGGAAGTAGTTATTTCCTCTGTGGGTCCGTTTGTTTGTTTTTGACAACATAAAAGTAAAAGCAAGGTTGAAATTTGTTGTGTACATATATCCTCCCAAAAGTAAGAGGCCTATTGATGTTTGAAAACCAAACTGGAGCTGCTTTTTTTTACCTGTAACTTTTGTCATTTTCCTTGAGCTGTTGCCTGTAAAAGCAGTATTTATTAATTCAGTTTCACAGCGGTGTCATGATGCACCATTTTGGATGATAACCATGGTGTTAAAAAAGTGAAATATTGATATAGTGTTAATAATACACACCTGATAATATTGTGTAAATAATACAACACCTCTTTAAAATCATTTCCATTTCTTTCTGTTCCCACTTAGACTCCCTCTCCACCTCCCAATACTTATATTTTGAGTGTAAATCATTTCCCAGAAACAAGACAAAGCCCATATTGACAACTATAATGTTTTTATGAATTCTGTTGGTCAGCAGTATTGTGTAGCGAAAATCTAATAACATGTCAGCCCTAATTTCAGCTTTTAAATTCACTGTTTGAGGAGAGAAAACTAGTCTTACACCCATGTGAAACATAAGACACATAAAAGACTTCCACCTAAAACACCTTGAAAATAATGAAATACATAAAACATACAAAAGTGAATGCTAATGCCACGCAAGCCGATGAAAAACAATTCCATTAGATGGCAAATAATGAGTATCTAACTATATAATGACGAAAACTCTTTCTGTGGGTGCGCCTGTTCCACGTCTTTCCCCTCACAGACTTGGTCAATCCATGTGAAATTTGGCACAGTGGTAGAGGGTCATGGGAGGATGCAAATGAAGCAATATTACATCATTTGGCCAGAGGGGGACGCTATAGCAACCGATTGAAATCGCAAACTTTGAATGGACATATGGGCAATTCCATGCAAATGTCAACCTCACCATGAAAAAATAAAGTAGCCATATTTATAACAAAACCCATTTAAAATGTATCATCAAGGTCTATATTTTGAAGTACAAAATACATTTGATCACAATATTCATGCAAATACATGTTTTTCCTCACTACAATGAGGAGACACAATAATGTAAAAATGTATTTTTCAGTGAACAAAATTGTATGACTTTCTGAATGGCCAGAATGGCAAAAAAAATCACCTACAGATGTCTTCTAACCTCACTTTTTATCAGGAAGGGCTGTTGTATCAATATGTAAATCAGTTATGTACTTTGTGTCTTTCCATTGGCCGGTGGAACGTGCTGTTATGATGCCCGTTTATGGGACAACTCATGTAACGTCCATAACGTTTTTTAGGAAAAGTTGTCATAAAACATGCATTTGGAAAGCAATGTCAGCCAAACTTTCTAAGCAAAGCTAACTTTTAGAAAGATGACATATTAGCAACAATTGTCATCCTGGTCTTATTTTTTGTATTATTTCCGAGCGCTACGGACGTTACCGTGACGGACGTCACATATTGTAGAGTCGATCATATGAACCCCAGTCCATGTGTGAATGTTGATTACACTGTATCACATTAATGGTTACACCCCACTGTTAAACCTACTGCTCTTGTGGCTCGCTGTGTAGTGTTTACTATCATCCTGAATGAGCTATTTGCAGGGATGGGCTGCCGACATGTGAAAAATGTTACTGTATCACATGAATACGCTGGTAGCCTCTCACGATAATACTGCTCTTCTTGTTCACTGTTTACTAGGGTTGAGCCCGCGAGTATCTGGTGCGGATAAAGCACTTTTGACGAGTATGAGTATTATGTAATACGAGTCATTATCTGTGCTCGTGATGAATGAAAATCCTATAGCTGACCGTGTCCATATTCTGTGATAAGCCAGTCACACACAGCGCACCTCCCCTACACACACACGGTCACTGCAGCTGTGCCCCGCTCCGCTGACACACACACACACACACACACACACACAGTGACAACCTCTCTGTCAATCACTCACGTTTGACAGATCACGTCTCATCTCTCTTCAATACCGGTTAGGTTTTCTTCAGCTCGCTCTTACATCGGTTTGTAATTACTTATAGTCAGTAGAGATTCTGGTCAACTTGATTCGTAACAGACGCGGTGCTTTTGTTAGAGCTGAATGCGACTCACGTCCGTTTTTTTTTTTTTTTTTTGGTTCGTCTTCATTAAAGTAAATGAAGATCTGAAAAAAAACCAGCTCAGAACTATTTGATCAGTAGAACAACATTTCTCTCTCTCTCTCTCTCTCTCTCTCTATATATATATATACACACACACACCATAATCAGCATTATGTTTAACTTCGTGTATAAAAGACAAAGAACATTAGGTAGTAAAAAAAAAATATCGCACTGTCTGATCATAAAAATCATTTAAAAAATCATATAAAAAACTGCATTTTCCTTAATTGCCATCTGCATGTGCTGTATTCATTGATGCACTTAAGAATATTCATGTTCTGTGTTTCTAAGAAAAGACCAATGGGTGTACTGCCTGTCATCTAGACTCGCGCATTATTAAAATTCACTTGACAGCTGTCACTCTGAGGTGATTTATGACCAGTTAGTCGCATCCAAAAAGGTAACGCCTACTATGTAGTCTACCGGTATGTAATCGATCAGTAGAAATCAATGATTTCTCAGACTACAACATAGATCCAGACTGGTTTGACCCTTTAAATGGCCCACTGAAGTCAAACACATGTGGGTAAAGCCCTATTTTTGATTGTTTTTTTGGTCTATTTCAGACGTGTAACATCCATAACGCAAAAATGTAACATCCATAACGGCACTTTTTTGTGATTCTTTCCTTAACAGGAAAAAAAAGTTTTCCTAAATGTGCTTTTTGGGTACCTCAAACCCTTCCCTACAAAATGATATTAAACATGTTAGTCTTTGAAAGAACAATTCACAGAGTTTTCATCATGTGTTCAGTGAGTCCAAAAAGCTTGTCCATTTCCGTAACATCCATAACGCTGGGTATTTTGTCACTTCTCTCAAAATCCAAAGGGTCATAACATTTCATATTGCAGGCTTATCTTTATCCCAATAAGTGTAACTAAAATATGTATATTCAATTTTTTAATTCAAATCAATGCCTTGTCAATGTTAAGCTTAGTTTCCAATTTTCTCTCTGAATGTAACATCCATAATGCTGGAATTGCCCATATCTCATGCCCCGTATGTCGTAGAGACATGAAACTTTGCACAGAGATACCTCTTCTCATGAGGAACACATTTGCCTTTATAGATTTTCTGCCATTTTGAATATTTTGAAAAACGCTTAAAATCGATCTCTTCCTAGGAAGTTTGACAGATCTGCATGAAACTCGGTGAACATAATCTAGGGACCAATATCTAAAGTTCTCTCTTGACAAAAGTTGGAAAACTTACTAAAACTGAGCTTCTATAAGGCAATGAATATTGCGGAGGGCGTGGCTCATCACATAAAGGTGTATAACATGTCAAGGGTTTCACCGATCACCACGCAACTTTGTAGGCATATGACCACACATAATCTGAGGGGACCCCTCCATTATTGACCCCATCAAACAAAATGGGGGCGCTAGAGAGCTAATTTCTTATCTAGGCCTAACTGCCATATCGATTTTAACTAAACTTGGTAGATATGTAGAACAGGACGCCTCAACTCTAATTGGCAGAAAAATGGCTAAAATGCAACAGATCACTGTGGCTGCAATCGTACTATCAAATTCACAAAAACTCTGTCTGAATACATTGCTCTTTTTAATGGGTTCAGTTGACTGTTTAATCTGCAATTTCCTATGACCTGTATCCCAAACACACACCATGTGAAACTTTACATGGGAAATTGTGCACTCAATGAATATGGACTAGTTTCCATCATTTTTTTAGATAAATCGATTTGTTGTTTGGTTCTGCGGATGAAAATTAGCCTGTATGGCTAAATCTGGCACATTTACGTGACTTAAGTGATCATGTTAATTAATGTGCACTGTCCCTTCTTAAATAAAATAAACATAAACATAAAATGTCAGAAAATGGTGAAAGTCTTCAGTCAGTGTTTCCCAAAGCCCATTATGACGTAAATATCCATATTTAAGAAGCTGGAATCAGGGAAATTTGACTTGTTTTCTTAAAAAAAAATAAACCAATTATTCGATTATCAGTTGATTGTTGCAGCTCTGCTTTGAGTAGAGGTAATATTCAAAATTTTCTAAATTATAAAGTAAGTTTAAAGTGTTGGGTTAGCTTTCTCACTTTGCCTTTGAATAGCAAATATGTCATTCACTGGGCAGGAAGGCCACCGTTCCTCTGAATGGAGTGACACTGATGAATTCACTGCTGTGTCAGACCTTTTTGCAGAAATAAGACTTTCAAAAAAAAAAAAAAAAAAAAAGAAAGTTGGAAGAATAAGGGGGGATGTGAGAAAGAAGATGAATTTACCATAGACAAGTTGCTGTTCCCTTGGTATTATGAATAATTTATTCCTCGTCTATTCGTAGGAAGTGAGAAATAGAATTCACATTAACCAGCTAGCACAGCCACGTCCACCTCAGCTCCAGCGTCCATATACCCCTCTGTGAGACAGCAATAAGAAGGGATCAGTACCAGCGCTCATAAAAAAAAAAAAAAACTGATGGCCTTTTTAAAGATATGTTTTTGAATTTTTTTTATTTTTCTTTTCCCTCCCGCCTCCATCACAAATGCAAGGACAAACCCACACATGTGCACACACAGACATCAACACCAGGAATTCATTCTGACTGAGGCATTTTATTCCCAATACATCACTGCTGTGTGAGTTAGGATGATGGAAGATGCAGTAACTCAGAACATGCAGCTATTTCCAATAGATACTATCTGGCCTTTTTTTTTTTTTTTTTTTTTTTTTCTTTTTCAGTCGTTGCCTTTAAAGTTACCATCTTTTCATGTCGTAGTCAGAACTGGGTGAATGTGGAAAAAGTAGTAGTACTATTTCACAGTTGTAGTAGTAGTAGTAATTTTGAATATGTATAATATTTTGTAGGGATGAGAATCACCAGAGATATGATGTTATCACAGTACTTAAGTTATGATACAGTATTATATTTTGGGATTATTGAGATAACATATATTGTGATATATTGACATTTATTACCTATTTTCAACTACAAATTATGTCCCCAAGGGAAAACCCCTGTCAACATCTTTTTTATTTAATAATCTAATATTTTTTTCTAATAATCTAATAAATTACCTAATCACAAAAATGTTAAATTTTTCAGTCTGTTCATCTTTTTTCAGTCATTTTTATTGCAGCAAAATCTATCTAGTGGACTGAAAAAGAAATTGATATCATCTCTAGAATGCTACCGAAAATTTAATTTTATTGCAACAGTCATTTATTTACATAATAATTTAATAGATTACAATTTACTGTATATAAAGATTTAAAAAAAAAAAAAGATAATTGGCATGCATATATCGTTACAGTATTACTTTGGAAATTATTGTGATGTATTGATTTATTCCCACACCCTTAATGTTTCATCTACTTGAAACAAAAACAGAATTAGGCGGGTGGTGTGTGGTGGATGCATGGCTCTAGTTAAAGTCATTAAATGGTGGCAGTCGTAGGTATGTTTTATAAATGTGTGACAGACGTTGGCTTTGTGATCAAAGGAATGCATATGTGCCCATTAGACTCTATTTAAAGTAAAGTGTTGTTCATATCATTGGATTTATTGGAATTGATAGCACTATTGATACCTTGATTCGTATATCAAATAATAATCTACATTAAATGATAATTAATTGAATAATATAATAATAAGTATTGTAATAATAAGAAGGTCTACAGTGGGCAAACTGCTGAAGTGCTGTGTCTACTGTCATTCCTCCTAACACAACATTAGTTGTTGCGCTCCCCTCTGGGGCTTGGTTTATTTTTGATAATTAATCTCTCACTGCAAGCCTAATGAATGGGAGCACATCAAACCCACCCAGTAAATATAGAGCAGATCTGCTCTTTTGGAGCCTAGTGATATGGGGATTACACTGGTTATGTGGAGCAGAGCTGGATCAAGTGGCTGGGGCTGTGCTGAACTGCAAGCTATCATTGGAAGAAACGAAGGTGCCAAAGTAAAAGAAGAGGTGGGGAATGATGCAGGGGACATATGCTAGCTTCTGGAGCCCAGCCCTGCCCACTGTGGAGGGGACTGACAGTTCTGGGTCACTCTCTGCGTCTCCAGTTATCTCCACCCAGCCCCTATCTGCTCAGTGGTGGCGGAGGATGGAGGACGGAGGGAAAATAGGACGGCTTATTGAGATAATAATGTGGTGTACATCGGTGACAGTTGTAAGCTGAGTGCCACAGTACTTAAGCCATGCAGGGCGATGTGTGAGCTTTCACTAGCTTGTTCCAATCATGAGTGGGCGAATCCGCCAGCTCAAGCTTAATGTATGGCATTTCATGCTTTCAAAACAGTGCACCTAAATGCTGATTTATTCTTATTTGCTTTGGCTCGGAATTTTGTGTTCTTTCATATTTCTGTTCATAACGTGATATGGCCTGTCCACCCACAAGGTAGCAACAGAACATAGCCTTCGAATTTTTACGCAACAGTTAAGAGTCAAAGCCTCGGAAATAAACTTCATTTTATTTAATGCTGATAAATACAAATTGTTGTTTATCAACTTCCTTTTCCTTTTGACACATACAAAGATATGTGTGCTTTTTTAGTACTACACCAAATTAATACACCTGACACAAGACACTATGCTCACAGCTCTGCCAGCTCACATCAGTTATTACATTTAAGAAACATTAGGCTCCTTCCCTTAATGCTTTCATGCAGAGCCATCAGTCAGGCAGGCTTTGATCAGACTTTGAGTTCCTTATCGGCATCAAAGTTTTCACAAAATCTCTGAATTTCAATTATTATCTTAAGAATCTGTTGGACAATCTCAGGAAGCTAAAAGGGCATTCAAACAGCATATTTGTCAAACTTCCAGAGCCAACTATGTCATCTTCCTGATGCCAAAGTATGTGCCAAAACTGGAATTTGCAAAGATATCATGAATAATTTCTAAAATAAGGACAGAATATTGTAAAATAAATGAAGATCTGTTGGAAATTTAGAGGTTTATACTTAATATTTGTGCTGTGGGACTCAAAGAAGAACGTAGCTTTTACTCTGTGACCACTAGAAAAATCTGTTATTTCAAAAGGAGATGAAAGGAGTTGATGCTTTTATTGAATCAGAGGGCTGTCCCCGCTCCAGCTGCAGATACTGTATCCCTCCTCCTCCTCCTCCTTCTGGTCATGAATTTATCCCGCTCCACCCCTATTCTAGTTTTCATAGAGCTGTACTGAAATTACAGTTGCTCAGACATTCCCGCAAATTGCAACAATTAGCTGGTCACACCCACGCGCACTTATGATTATTGTTCCTGGCACAGGGACTTATTCTTTTTTAGTTTTATTTGTGAGCATCAGGGGTCATTTTTCTACAGCTGATACCTCAGGTCACATCTCAACTTCCAATTTACCATAAATAGAGCTCGGGTCTTTAGAGGAATTAAAAAACAAGTTGCTCCTGTTGCGAATTTAAACATCAACTTCTGGTCAATGTCATGCTTAGAAAATAATTATTTCTCAGTTTCGAGCTAAGCTTAGGCTGACATTGTATTTGCTAAATGTCACTTGCAATTAAAGTTGATAATGTTACCGAGAAAAGGTCACATACCAACCTGTGTGGCGGAATGGGACTCTGAGGCTGATTCAGACACCCCGCCTGACAACACTGAGCACTCAGTCACACTCCCAACTGGCTGACATGTTTTCCCGGTCATTGTGCTTTCAATTACACACATTACACTGATTAGATTTACATTTCAGTTTTTATGGTTGCTCTAATTGGCAAAGATGATTGCAAATTAGGCAAGAGGGCAAGCGTAGCCTTGGCTACCGTCTGTCACCTTGAAATGGACGGACTAACACAGACCTGGGTTCGGTGTGCCCATTAATCTGCTAAATTCATGATCGGGGTGAAGCAAGTGATCAAATTTAATAGGGTGCCTATTTTCTCCAGCAGCACCCTTTTTGACATGGCATTTTGTGACCTCTAGCTTGGATAAGGGAATAATTTGTGGTTAATTAGCCTTGTAGAGTTTGTGTCACTCAAATTTTTTTTTGCGACTTGTCTAATTGTTCTGCTTTATGTTTTCTGACCCCTCAGGCCTCAGTATTACAAGGTGATAGAGGAGTGCGTGTCTCAGGTGGTCCTGCATCGCAATGGGATGGACCCTGACTTTGGCTACAGTAGACGACTGGACGTGGACTTCACCCATCTGATTGGTATTTGCTTCAAATTCCCTCCTTCATTAATTTAACATGGGCTGGCAAAAGTCTAAAATGTGTATTTAGGATAATAATACCCTGAAATCATCCACAAGATCAGTTTTTGTCTTTTTATACTGTGCTGCAGGAGGCACATCACTGATGTTGCTAAAAATGTTTTGATACCTCGCAGTCATTCTCATTATCCTCCCAGATCCCGCTGAGATTCCTCTGACAAACACCTGCAGTGGCTTGACATATAAGTTGGGGTCATCTAATTATTGATGAATAATACATTATATCTGTTAAAATGAATTCAGCCAGTTCAGAATCATCTGAAATGTCATTTTCCTCTGCTACTCAGTTGTCAGCCGTGTCTCTGGAATCACAGAGAAAGCATCTATTTACACTGCATCACTAATGGAGATTTTTTTCAAACAGAGAAAATAAATAAAAAACACTTTGTGTCTCTTTGTTGTGTCACTAACAGTTCTGTGACTTGCCAACAAAGGGTCATTAAAAGTTTCTAACCCTATCCACAGAGGACTGAGGCAGCATTAAACGAGTTTTGTCACACTTTACTGAGATTTAATCAGTTAATAAAAAACTTTCGAAGGATGTGTGTGTTTTGTTAAAATTCACACAAACAACACAGATGCAACATTCACATGGCTTATTGAAATGTGCCTTTCCACCCTTTTTTTCCATTGTCTTTTTTTTCACATTCACATTAGGTTGCTGTTTCCTGAAAACAATTATTTTTCAGAGGGAATATGTGTTGCGTGATGTGTGATCTGACAATAATTTACACCTAAAACTTGCACATACACTGTCCTTCAGATCATTCATCTGCAGGGTTATTGTAAAATGTGGGATTTGTAAATATGCCCAAATAAAACAAAAGAACTGAAACACTAAATGTCTGTAAAACAGTGATTTGAAAAATAAAGTAAAATTTATTTAATTAAGTAAAATTGGCAAAAACACGCAGATTTAATTTTGTATTTTAGATGCTGATTGATTTGTCTTTTGTTCAACACACACACACACACACCCGCTTAAGCAACAGCTTAGCTTGTAGGTGATAATTCCTGCTATTTTGAAGGAAACTTGGGTATTTTCGAACCTGCCCTATTCTTCCATGTTTTTGTGTCTAAAGCCCAGTTTCCACCAAACACTTTTGGTATGGTACCTTTGGAACCAAAAGTAACCCTTCAGACATGGCACCTAGACCCTAGGTCCACTTAGTGTTTCCGTTGTAACAGTACCCTTAAATGTGGGTGGGGTTGTTGTCACTCACTGCTCCGTCCAGCACTCACTGTATTTCCTCATTATCGTTGACAGAACGTTCACAGAACAAGGCTGCACGCCAACATTTTCAGAACAAAATAAAACAGGCTGCAATGAGAGTCTCTCTCCATGGGATATTTAAAAATAGCAGCTTTGTGCACTTAGTCCTTCTAAAGCAAGCTCTGGGGTTTAGTGTTGCTGTAGCCCACAGAAAAGATGCTACATAACACTTTTTTCCTCCTAGTGAGGATTAGAATATATGCAGTTCACATAGCTTGGTCGAAATTAATATATATAAAGGCTTGAAGAGCCACTCATTACCAAAAGTGTATGTCATATTAAAGCTAAAGTAATAATAATAATAATAGTCAAAGTTATCACATTGAAATTTAAGGTGTGTTGATTGATTCATGTTGTCAACTCATGCATTGAGTAACATTACGCCAGGGCCACAGTACCAACGAAGTGCTGCGAAGCGCAGCGCACCGAAATTCTCATTCACATCAGACGCGCATTTCTCCACGCCCACAAGCGCTTCTGCTCCCAGCTGTTGTCTCCGTCACATTTGGGGCTGTTTTTCCATCATGGGTATCTCTCTCTGTTTGCGTGTGTGTGCCCCAACCCCCACCCGGCCCACTCGCTCTCTCTCTCTCTCTCTCTCTCTCTCTCTCTCTCTCTCTCTTTCTTTCGTGTGTGTGTGTGTGTGTGTTAGTGGGTGTGAGTGTGTGTGTGTGTGTTCATCTCTCTCGCGCTCTGTTTAGATACCACTGACTATGTATAGCCTATATTCCTGCCCGGCTTGACACATTTGCTCATGGCTCGCGCAGAAAATAGACCAGATGTCGAAATGATCGCTGCAGCGCCGGCCGCGGAGCTGCGTGTGGATGACACAGTCGGTTAACATGGACACTGAAAGGAAACTGGCTTTGCTTCTCGGCGCATTGAGGCTATTCGCAGCGCTTCCGCGACTGGTGTGGCCCTGGCGTTACAAGTTAATGTTCCACCTTATGAGTTGCCGGCAGTCGGCCCAGTGAATTAAGTTATTTTTTTCTCAGACTCCTGGTGTTGCAAGAGGCAGCAAAACATCCTTTCATTTTCTAGTTATAGTTTACTAATAAAACTCTCCATGGTATGAACAGTGGTTACATGAGCCTCAAAACCAGCCACATCTCAGCCCTGAGCAAAGTGACCATCCACTACTGACCAATCAACAGACTGCAGTGTTCACAGCTCCACCTTTTAGTACCAGATCTGTAAAGAGAAAAATAAAAAGAGAAGAGGGACATAGATTAGACATAGATACATCTGCATGAGCCAAGAGTTGCTCAGTATGACTGATTTCACTGTATATGAGGCAGTTATTGAACATCATGAAAACACCTCCTCCCTTCTCGTCCTTCTTCACAAGGTCAACAAGGTCAACACAGCTTTGGGGACTGACGCAACTGCTGTGTTGTCCTTCTTCACAAGGTCAACACAGCAGTTGCGTCAGTCCCCAAAGCTTCCCATTTTATATTTTCTTCTTTAAATTTCTAGAGCAGACTTTTTTATTGATTTTTTTTTCCACTAATTTATTTATTAAATATGTTTGTTTTCATCACAGTCATTTAATTTATACAACCTGTAATGGGAGACATATGTGTATGTCAACTAGGTAATTAAACTGAAATTATATACAGATGGATACTTTGAAAAGTATTCAGTCACAGACTGATAAATCTTAAAATGACTCAGTGGGAGACAGTGAAGAACTGGTCTCTTTCTCAAAACACACTTGGCAGTGTTAGCTGTGGAGAAATGCACCCATGATCTGTAACAATTTGGGAAGACCATCTTAAGCTGTAAACATCTCACGGACCAAACAGACTTTTCAAGAAAGCTTTCCAATCATATACGCTCCAATATACTTTGAGAATCAAGACCCAGGTCTAATTGAAAATCTCACATGAGGTCCTAATGACGCACATCGCGCCTTTGAAGTATCTCATGACTGTGGCTATCTTGTCTTGCAGATCAGTGTGTGGATAAAGCCAAAGTTGAAGAGAGTGAGCAGAAGGCTGCGGAGTTCTCCAAAAAGGTAAGACATTAATCACTCCAGCAGCCCCCTTGGTTGGCCGGCTCCCATCAGGAAAGTTTTTTCCTTCCTCTGAGCTCCCAGACAAGCTATTGATTTTCCATGCCCTGATCAATACCTGGGTGTGACGCTACATGATCCGTATCAGCATTACAAGAATCAATGCTGATGATCTGATGTATACTTATTTGTGCACAGTGCCAGGGCAGAGTAAAATTATGTGCCGGCTCTTTTAATACAGTTGCGTATTTGAGGTTGGCCCTTTAAGGGTTTCTCTCTTTATCTTATATTTTCCTTCTTGATTAATTCTTTGCTTGATTAACTAATCAGTTATTTTTAATTTGAAATAAATAAAATAACTGGCAGTTTAAAACTTTACCTCCAGAATATTTTTTATGATATTCAAATGCGTCTTGAAGAGCCTCACTGCCACGGTCTTGCAACACCAGGGGGGTCCTGGATGTTGTTTTCTTAAGAGTCCCGTCCCACCAGCCCACCGCACACCCTGCTGGGCCAGTGAAATCATTGTAGCGACATGGCTTAGTTTCTGCAAAGGTTAGATCCATCAACTTTCGCGAAAGCCAGGCCTGAAACAAAGACAAAGGACAACAGGGCTCTAGGGCCACGAGAGCTATGAATAGAAATCGGCCAGAGAGTGTAAGACAGCGTGTTTTGGTGTTTGTTGATGTGCCCTGTGGCCATTCTCAGGAGACAGTGTGCCGCTCACCTACCTCTGTGTGTGTGTGTGTGTGTTTACATCCATGTACACGTGGTTGTTATGTGCACACAAAAATACTTGTGTGTCTTTCCTTGCAGTTTGATGAGGAGTTCAGTGCACGGCAGGAGGCCCAGGCTGAGTCTCAGAAGAAGGAAGAGAGAATCAAAGAGTTGGAGGGGAAGATCCAGGCCCTGGAGTCCCAGGTAAATCCATAAGGAGAAATACTGCTACTCTGCAGAGCAGCGTTGTGTTCCCCCAGAGATATTTTATTTTACATGCTTTCCAAAAAATGTAAAAATTCAAATGTACAGAAGCTCTTCTAATCTGCTTTCTAGGTGAAAAACATCTTACACAATAAAATGCAGACTGAAAGTGTTTGTCTTGATAATAGCGATGAGAAGTGATGGCGCCACTAGAGAAAGGGCTGATTTGGTCAGAAGGATACCTTTCCACCTCACTTACAGATGTGCTGCTGCTGTAAGTGGGAGTTATCATCCATGCAAGAACATTTGATTTAATAAAGGGTCAATCTCCTGCTTAAGTTGTAGCTCTTTATAAGGGCGAATTGCTCTATTGAAGCTTTTCCTATGTAATTCTATCATCACAGAGATGGATTGCATTTCTTTTCTTGGCCTCTACATCATTTCTTCCCAGGCAAAACCCTTCATTTTGAGCACAGAAAATGACTGCTATTTCCCCCTTAACCCAATTTCAAATACTTTAGTACTGCCTTGGGACAAAAGGGCAGTTTGCCTCCCTGCTTAGGGAATTTAATATAAACCAGCATTGAAAGATGGCATAGCTACATTTATATTTGAGATTGCTTTTTCTTTCAAACATTCATCTCAGGTTACTTAGGTTGGCACTCCCCATCTGATAAAGTGCACCTGCATATGTGGTCCAAGCATCACTGGGAATTTTCTCAACTGTTACTCCAGTCCCCCAGCAATCATTCTTAAGTCCATAACAAATGCTGTTATGTAGTACAAGAGTTGGCCGTTGTCCTCGCACTGTTTTTCTCCTTAAGAACTTAATTTATGTTGAGCTCTCACTCGTGCACTTCATATGCCTGAGTGCTGTGTCACCACTTGCTACCTGTATTTGTAGCCAAACTGGTTCATCACTCACTCTGTTCCTGATTAATGCCTGCCTATTTTAACAAGACGATCAGGATCTAAAGCTCCTCTCCACCTGCTCCGCCTGCTCGCCCCGCTTCTGCCTTGCTTTCTCCTTCTTCCACCTTCTGTCAGAAATGAATGCATCAGGCTGCGTTACCTTTGCCTGCCCTCCTTCCCTTGTTGGGGCTTTTTATGTTGTGTTTTTTCCCCTATAACACGCCTTCCCCTCACCCTCCCCTGGCAGGCCTCTGTCTTTTGAAGACTGACTGACTGTGGTGCATTAACAGGTAGCGTAGAGCAGAGGAGCCCTGGAGAGTCGAGCCCTCTCTTCCTCTGTTTGTCCGAATGCTCCTTCAAAGAGCCGCTACTGCTGGAGAGCTGCACATCAACAGGCATTAACCTCAGCAGGGAAACATATAAGATGTTTGGCACAAACTTGAATAAATGTGGCCATGAGGACTATAGAATATCCCCTATGCATCCTGACAGAACATAATCTAAGTATATGCGCAATAGGGCTGCACTATTGAGCATAAATAAACTTTACTTTTAATGTGAATCCATTTAATTTGTTCAGGTTTACGAAGAGTGCAGTTAATTTTCACTGGCCTCACACACTCATTTAATTAGAGTTGATTTTTGTGCTGTAAGGGCTATAATTTTTTTCTCCTAATGTATGCAAGTTCTGTAATAACAATTCCAAGTTATCGCCTGTTTTTTTTTTAATTTTGGGCTGGTGTTCACATAGACCATTCAATTGCTACCTCAAGCAATGAACAAAACAATAGTGTCATCCTCTCAGATGGTGGTGATTCAGCCTCTCCAGGAAGACTAGGCTGAAAGAGTGTGTTTTGCAACCTAATTCACATTTGACACAGTGTTGTAGAAGGCCATTAACTGAGAGAGCGCAGAACCTTTAAATCGCCGTGAGGACACGCATTGAGTTTGTCCATCAAAGCTGCTGTGCTATCACTGTCGTTTTGCTGAATATGAATGAAGTGGGAGCTAACGCTAACCTTTCATCTGCTCGACAGAATTCCTGTCAGATAATAAAATACATGCATGCCTGAGTCGCTTCTCTTCACCTTGTTTGTGAACCAACACATTTAATGAGAGTCTTTGTCTGGGAACTTTGGCATTGTAACAAGCAGCCTGTTTGATGTGTCTGTTTGATTATCCCCCAATTGAGTTGAGTGGAGGTTCTGCCTGTAAACATCAACAAAGGACACAGGAATCACAACGAGTGGAAATCATCCACCCTTCCCCAAACCATTGCTTGCAGCCATTCAAGACAAAAAAAGGGAAGGTATTCATCGAATTGGCTCTGGATGTGATGAATAATGTAGCACTGCAGTGGTGCATTGGAGCACTCTGCGCCATCCCATTAATAGGTTTTAACAACCTGGCGGTCTTGTAGCTGACCCATCTTGGCCCCAAGAGGAGCTGGAGGTGTAGTGGACCACTTTCTCTCTCTCTTTCTGCCAGGCTGCCTTCCGTTCTGGCTGATTACAGAATTTGACTCAACTGATAATGACAGCAAATCTCACAATGTAGTCTCTGTTATAATATGTGCTCCACTGAAAGAGCCAGTTCAGTTGTTAAGCCAAAAACATCGTGTCAAATTCACTGTCATTCAAATGTGTGGTACATGCATCCTGACATTAACAGTCCTACAGAAAATGGTGGTGAAGAGAGCTGGACTTTGACAGACTGTATACATGCTGAAAATCTCTTGGCTTCCTGTTTCAGACTGAGAAATCTCAAAGCCTCCAACTTTAAATCCCTGAGGATCAAAGATAAAACTAAACTTCTTTGCTTTAAATATTGCGCTTTACTACCATTTTCTGAAATTCTTTCAAAAAGAAAGTTTTTTTTAAGTCACCCTACCAAAAGTTTCCATCTCCTTTTCCATTACACACATTAAATATTTAGTTCTCCACAGTCCATAGTAAGAGGTGTTCTGTAGGAATGACTCCATAAACAATATTACATTTCAGTTGCCGTGGAATATGCTCCCATCCTCTTTCTTTTGGCAAGGTCGCACAGAGTGAAAATATCAAAGCAAAATGGGTACATTTCTAAAACGAAGACTGCAGAGTGAAATCAATGCCCATCACACATCTGAGAGTGTTAAGTTGAAATGTATTTTGTGATACCAAAAAAGAAGAAAAGGGAAATGGAAGAAGGGTTTTGAAGGTACACCAACTGTCAGCGATGCTGTGCCTTGTTCCTTTCATGCTGCAGTCAGTGCTCCACACTGATGTTCTTTTGAAGGCAGATTACATCTTGTTTTAGGTGTAAAAGTACAGTACACTCTGCCTTGTGCACATCAAATAGCTCATTCAGACAAAATGGGAATATAGCACTGTATTTGTCACTAACTGTGCGAGGGACATCCTCTTTCCCCTGCTCGCCTCTTCTCTGGCTTTTTTCATTTTTGGTGTGAGTACTGTGCCTGTTCTGGTGTACTAGTGTTCTTCTTCTTCTCTGTCTATCTAACCCACCCCCATTTGTTCCTCTCTGTTGCCCTTTTTGTGTGTTATGGCATGTGTGTTCCCATGGTGTGTGTGTATGTGTGTGTGTGTGTGTGTGTGTGTGTGTGTGTGTGTGTTGTATCTGCACAGTTAACTATTGAAAAAGAAAACCTCAAAGAGGCTCAGAAACTCATCAGGGAATCTGAAGCCAAGGTGGGTGTCCTCTTTGCATGCGAAGCCCTCAACATAATCACACACTTAATCACCTGCAAATCCGAGTTAAATGTAAAGTGAAGTGGGTTGTGCTGCTTCAAATCTTTTGTTGGAGAAAACCGATTATTGAACTGATCTTTTGTCCAATGCGCCGTTCTCTCTGCATGTGTTTTGAATCAGCTGTAAATTCAAGTTGCATCTGAATATGAAAGGCCTCTAATCTTCATTTGCAAGAAAATAAATCTCAAAATCTTAAACCTTAAATACACATTTACAAAATTTACTCTGCGATGTAGTGCTTTGTCTCTTGAAATTACTAATACACAAAAACAGATAACACCTTTGTTCCATGAAGATAAATAATGTAACAGTTGGATGCTATGTGCAGCTCTATAGTGTTTTTTAACCACACACATTTCCTGCTTGTTTAATGTAATTTTCATAAGTAAACACTTTGTGATTGAATTCCTCTATCAGAGATGAGATTGGGGCATAGATTTAATCACATAGCATTCAGAGTTAATTACCTGCCATGCTGACCTCCCAATTGAGTCCAGAAGACTGTGAATCCAAATTGGATGGGTTAGATTTCATATTAGCTGGGTTCTCTACCATACACAGAGCTCCAGATGGGCTGTGCAAATTTAAATTCGGCCAAAAAGCATCACAGAGACCCTCGCAAGCTGGCGAGACACACAATATTCAAACAAGCTGGATAACAGACATATTAGAGATCAATACACAACATAGGGAGATAACATTTATGTGTTTCTACATATGTTTGTGTATTTTGTCTCACATAATCACTTACATGTTGTACTCATACATTAGCCTACCTAGAGCAGCCCAGTTGCCAGAAAACAATATTGGCATTGTATGTTTATGCAAACCATGATTACATCACATTTTTACATTTCATATGTATCATACTAATGCCTCTAAAGTGACATAGTTTATAAGCTGACTTCACCATGGGGAGGTGGAGGGGATGGTGGATGGTATGTCACCTAGGAGAAATGTCCGCTAAGTTGCAGACCACCATTCCAAACAAGCAAACAAGAAAACCAACCATGGTTTAGTGAGTCATTGCTGTTTCCATTGTTTTTTGGGCTCTTAAAGATTTTTTATAGTGACCTGCATGTGCTTTTCAGCAGGTGTTAGGCTCCAAACCTGGGTATTTTGTAGTAACATGTTGGCGGTAACAATGACACAAAAGGTGGTGTTTTTTCTTAGTGAGACACCGCTTCTTTTATTTATTTAATTGAATATGATTTCATTTAATTCAGTTTAATTTATATATTAATTAGATTGTGTCCCCAATTCTGGGTATTTTTGGCCTAAACACAATCTTTTCCTAAATATAACCAAGCCTAAACCTAACCACACGTTAACCACAGCGAAATGTAAAGATTTAACACATCCACTACATCATAATAAGCAGATGTAACGTATCTATGGTTTGCAAGAATGTCCAATGCCTACGTTTTTTCTGGTGATTTGGATGCCTACACTTGTGTTTGCTAGTTCATACACAGACAGTTGTATGTTATGGACATGCTGTACATGTTGCATGCAGAACATCAACTCAGTTACAGTGCAAAACATAAAGTTAGATGTCGTCCCATATGAATTCAGCATAAAATGGCCGTTATTATTTAAACTGCAATACACAATTATTATGCACTTTACAACTTATGGTCCTCTTTTTTATTAGATGTTTGTTTTGGTATCTGATGAAGAAGAAGCCAGTGGCAGTGGTACGGGATCCCAAGGGTTCTGTGAAACACTGGGCTTATTATTGGGTAGATCAGAGAAGGAGAGGTAGAAAGAAAGATAAAGACTCAGAGGGCCCCTCAGTATGGAAACAACTGCGCTCTAATTTAGCAGGTAATTTGCTTCCATTCTCTCATATTAATCTTAAAAGGGAAAACGGGCCACGGAGGGCTCGAGATTGACAGACATGTAATCACTGGATGTGGGTTTTCACTCAAGGGCTCTGGGCGATCTGTGTAAGAAGCTCCATGCAGAACACCTTTCTAGTTTTGACCGTAATAAACAATCCACCAATGCCATTATGTAATGAAACACAGCGTAATGTCTTTAAATATGAAGCCAATCACATTTTACGCACCCAATCAAGTGACTGGGGGTAAAGCACATTGTGGGGAATTGGTTTTGGAAATGAGAAGTGGAAATGCCTTTTTTTCCCTTTCTTTTTTTTTTTTTTTTGGTAAGAGACGGCATCTAATCAGCTTCAAAGATCAAACCCTGTCTCAGCTCGGGTGTCTGTAATTGTTGTATTTGCATAACTTTTTTCCCTCTGAAACATTTTTCTATTGGCATTATCACTGAATATCACCGCCTACCTGTGTATATGTTATGCGCGATAGTGCAGAAGTGACAAAGGACTGAAAGACTTTGTCTTATCAGTCGGGGGTCTAATTACATCCCTGTCTACTGTTTAATAGCCTGCCATTGTGAGGACTCATGACGAACACTTGATGGGAAAGCAACATTCTTATCTTTTGTAAATTAAAACAGTGGTTGATCAAAGGTTTTTCCTCTATCATTTTGCTTAGTATTTAGAGACATTTCCACGGAGATTAATGAACACAATACACCAACCTTTTTACTGATACACAACTCTGCATAGAAAGCATAAATTTTGTCAGAATGCCAGTATACTTAGATTAAATGTTTGTATTTAAATATATACTGTGCAGGATTTTCATGGCAAACTATATAGACTCATACAGCTGTAAAGCATCTCAGTCATTACTTATCACCCAGCGTGTCGTGGTTTATTTTTCTGCAAAGATTCTGCCCGCTGCTTGTGTTTCTTACTTTCTTCTTATTGTCTGTGTTAGGGACGTTTATGGTGTGTACCCCCAGAACGCTCAGGTGACGTCGGGGCTTTATAAAAAAGTAACGACCAGGTGCCAGACTGTAACCAGCAGGCACCCAAGAGAGACCACGCAGAAAAAACCCGCAAATATAGCCAAACAAGAGTGAATCAGGGGTTTGCTTTTGGTTTCACTTATGCTGGCGAGCGTGGTTTCAAACGGTTACCAACAATCCTGCATATAATAGAATAAGATAAAATTAGATAATCCTTTATTCGTCCCACAACAGGGACATTTGTGACATTACAGCAGCAAACTGTACAAAAACAAAGAGCAGAACAAGTAGAAAACAGTACAAAAACACAAAGCAATATAATAAGGAAGCATCAGAAATAAGCACAATATAATAAAGAGACAGACTGAATGATTGAGTTAACATTATTGACCAATAGAAGTATAGATACTGCACAGTTTAACAAACTGGACTAAATATGAATTGTCCTTCCAATGGGCTACTATTAACAAACTGGCAGAGCTCACTTTTTGTGGCTGTGTGATTGATAATTATGACTTAATCTGCTGACATTGAGAATTTCAGGGCAGTTTTTACAACCTGTTTGTACATTGACTAATTATTTTATAATAAATCTGACATGATGTGAATATGAGACAGTAACTCTGTCAGAAGTTTCACAAGTTGTGGACTCAAAGAAGCTTTACACAACCATTATTTCAAGTCCCACGACTAGAATATATCCTCACACTGCATTTAGAATTGCTTCAGGGCGTCATTGCTCGTTTTTTACAATCCCTAAGAGTTTTATGCAAGTGTATTTCATTTTGGCCCCTAAAGTTTAATTGGTCTAAAATACAGGTAATTGCTCTCCTCAGACTTCACCCAAATATGCAGACAGGAAAACAAGAGTCATATAAAAATTTTGATGCCAAATTTTGCTCAATAGAACTGTACATGGTGGGAAGAAAAAAAAAGTTGCATCCAACTTTTTATGATAACAGGACTCATAGCAAAGTCAGCTTGGCACACATCCACAGAAATGGTTGGTGAACTTGTGATCATGATCTCTTTGGTTAGTAAAGTCATGAGAGCAGCAGAGGACGTGACCTCCTCTTGTTCTCTGAACTTGGAAGCAGCACTCACTCAGAACTTAGTGATCATTGACATGAAACACTGACACAAACACACACCCTGCTCTGTACACAGTGAAAGCTCATGGTGAGTTACTAAGATACAAAAGCTGTGCGTTATTTTGCACAGCACAGAAATTCTCTTCACCAACACAAATAAAAATTCCCTTGTGGCTTTTTCCCATTAGTGACATCAGATCGAGGTTCAGATAAAACGAAGTGGAGCCTCGCTGGATGTTTATGCCATCTTTAACATTTCCACCTTGTATTTGCAGATTGCGGCGGGTCCAACTGCGCCTGGAGTACCACCTCCTCCACCCTTACCAGGGGGTGCTGCACCACCACCTCCCCCACCACCTCCTCCGCCACCTCCACCTGGTGGCGGTCCTCCTCCTCCTCCCCCTCCTCCACCTCTTCCTGGCCACGCAAGCATTCCACCCCCACCACCTCCTCCAGGTGGAGGACCCCCACCTCCCCCACCACCCCCTGGTTGTGGGCCCCCACCTCCTCCACCCTTCCCCGGAGGCCTAGGTGGGCCTCCGCCACCTCCTGCAATGCCTGTCATCAAGTTGCCTTACGGACTGGAGCCCAAGAAGACCTACAAGCCTGAAACTGTGATGAAGAGGGTGAACTGGACCAAGGTATGTCAGGCTGAGCTCTGGTTTGCCGCAACTTATGCCTGGTTCACACTACACGATATCAGCCTGATTATAGACCAATGCAGCGTCGAACGGTGATGGCTCGAACTATGAACGACAATGAGTGTCATACGCGATAATCCATTATTTCATCTCGTGTAGTGTTACGTTATAGTAGACGACAACCGACGCCACGTCCTGGGCACCTCACGACATCTCAACAGAAAGTCCAGCATGTTTGATTTTCTTTTTGTCGTTCATGACTGCTCCCGTCACAGCTGTCACTTTGACCAATAGAAACACAGAGTGATCTGCTGCCGTAGACACTGTACGACAACACCCCAGGGTTTTTGATATTTCCTCTACAGATGTTACCACACAGATTAAAAAGGGAAAATGCTGGCGTGAAACAACAGAGGCACTTTATCAACCCCTTGAGTACTGCCAATAGCATCAAGCTAGCAAACAATGTTCTTTCTTCATAATGGAGGATATAAAGGAATAAAATTAATAATAGTGGCTTTCACTCACCACAACTGCAGAAGCTACCAGCTTCATTTGAAACAGACTACATTATAAACGGGCAGTTATTTATTATTCCCTCTGTATTTTTATATTTTTACTTTTTATCTGCTCCTGTTTGCCTTGATAAAGTTAATGCATCGTTAATGCACGACTGTATCTTTTTCAAATTAAAAGCCCCTTATATTTTCAGTTGAGAGAATTCCATCATTTTCTAAATAGGCTTTTATTGTGAAACATTTGCAGGAACTTGTTGTGGAAGATTCAGTGACTTGCATGTTTGGATACGGTGCTTCAAGTAGCTCCTGACATCTGCTGGCACTTTTTACGCAACTGCAGCAACATTTCGGCTGGCACATGAACAGACACAGTGACTGAAATAATAGTAATAATAATAAAAACAGGACAACAATAACCCGATGACATCACACACGCTGTGAAAGACGACCGGGGATGATTGGTGTGGACCATCGTGTAGTGTGTCTCATGTCTTTCGGCCAAGCCACGGCACCATTTTATGACTCCACAGTAGGAATGGACAGAAATGTCGTGTAGTGTGAACCCCGCATATACTCTCATGTTTACTGATAACAATGTTGATTTGTAACTGAAAGGGAAATATTATTTCACTGTTGGCATGAAATATGCAATCTATTTACAATCACACATGCAAACTTTTCACACTAGCTGTTGAGGATTCTTGAAATAACCCTACACAATAAGAAGATGCAAAGTTGAAGATCCAAACTAATAGGAGCTATCTATTCAAATGCACCCAGACATTGCAATCTAGTCAAACAACCGTTCAGCCAAAGGCCACACCATTCCACACTCGGCAGCCATTTCAAAGGATTCAACAGTAAACAATTTTCATTGCTCAAATGTCCTTGGATTTGCACAATCTTAGCATAATTGAATGAGGACTGGGCTGTGTAACGTTCCATCACATTTGAATACAATTTCAATAGGACATTCTCTCGCGTGTGGGCTCTATTTTACCATAGATAATTTATCCACTGCCTCAGGAGTTCTTAGCATTAATTTAATGGTTCTTTGCCGATGCTTGTGTGACCTTGCGTCTTTGTCTTCAATTACTGACAGCAACCAAAACATCAGACTACTTCTTTTGACACCATGTTAGTGCTGCACATTATGTTTAATGGTTTTAGTGGAATCAGGCTCTATGTTAGAAAGAAATTTTGAATGTGATTCATCAATGTGTTGAAGGTTTTTCTCTTTTTTTTTTTTTTTTTTCTTAAGAACAAGTGAACAAATGGGGAATGTTTTTGTCTCCATTATTTATTCAACAGCAGGCCACCAAGTGAGTGACACAAATGAGAGAAATCAATGTGGAAATGCAAGTCAATGTTGCAGCATGTTTCAGGTTGGGTTTCTATCACCTGAAGGACTCTTTAAAATAACATGTATGCAAATGCTTCTCTCTGTGTGGGAGTTTGTGTTTCCAGAGGTAAAATTATTAATAGCGTCATACAGCAGTGTGAAATATCAAACCTGTTGTGTAAACAGTGAGAAAAACAGCAGTTCTGTTTTCTCTTAATACCAGGTGGGGCTGTTTGTGCCTTGATATTTTAAATATTATTAGTCATTTTCTTGTGCAATATTTCTGTGGTGTTGCACATATGATTTGTGTGCATGCAGTGACTTACAAATTCCCATTGTTTGGAAAGTGTACAGAGGTTAATGTGGAGGTATGCTGACCTTGCCTCCACAGGAATTGTTGTCTGGTGATGCAAATGAAATTCATAACCACCTGAGGAAAAACAATCTGTGTCTCTTGTGTCGATTAAGTGGGACAAGAGTCGTCTGTCTTCTCTATGTGCAGCAGATGGAAGTATGGGAGTGCCAGAAGTGACTGTGATTTGGTTGTGTAAAGAAGGAAAGGGAAAAGAAAAGATACTTGTTATTTTTATGCCTCTGTACCAGCGACAGCCGGAAGCATTATGTTTCCGTGTTGTCCGTCCGTCCATTCGTCCATCCATCTGTCTGCCCCTTTCTTGTGAACGAGATATCTGAAGAACGCCTTGAGGGAATTTCTTCAGTTTTCCCACAAGCTCCACTTGGACATAGTGATGAAATGATTAGATATTGGTGGTCAAAGGTCAACATCACTGTGACCCCATGTCTGTTCCAGTCTCGTGAATGTGATATCTAAGGAACGCCTGGAGGGAATTTCATTACATCATGCAAAAACGCACACTTGGACTCAGAGATGAACTGAAAAGAATTGGTCAAAGGTTGCTGCGACCTCACAAAACACATTTTAGGCCAAAACTTAAGAATTCGTATGCTAATTATGCCAAAATTTCACACAAATGTCTAATGTCTACCTTGAAACCATGGTGATTGTATAGCAGCATCCATATTTGAAGCTGTATACTGTAATAGCTACCTGAGACATGGATGTAAACTGCAACTTGACCGGTTGGTAGAGGCAGGGTTCCTACGCAAGTATGGAAAGTATGGAAAAGTATGGAAATAAATTTGATCAGTTTCCAGGTATTAAGAAGTATGGGAAATGTAAAATAAAGTATGGAAAAATATTTATGTTTCCAGACTATTACCACTGTTCTAAAATATTGTTTTCTAAAATAGAAAATTAGGTATTTCCAAAAATAATTTAATCAATCCGGATCGTGTTTTATGCCGGGCCAAGCACAGTTTGTGTGAGAGCAAACGTCTCGGAAAACATACCTCTTCTTATACCTGATTGACAAGTGGTATGTCTAGTCCGCTGCCCCATGACCCTCCTTCAGCCCCCCAGGTATCAAGTTTCACTCCAACACTGCCCTTCAACAAGAAGACGAGTTTCACGTGGTTCACAATGGGTAGATGCTAGTTTTTGGATGGATGGCTTGACAATACTGTATATAAATGCTGGTTGGCCAAGGATTCTCAATTCACACACAGAGCTAGATGCAAGCTTTGTGTGAAATCGTTTGACATCGCCAACATGGGGGAGAAGGCGATTCTGAGCCACATGAAAGGAAAAAACACCGACGTCTCATAACTGCATCGCTTGCACCCAGAGTCCCAACCTTTTTGCCTCAGCCCAGACATTGAACTTTCCTGAGTTTTTATTTGCATGCCATTATGGTACTTGGCTACAATCGCCTATTAAGAATAATTAAATATGATGTGAAATATGATACACTGATGTATTTACTCAGATGTCGCATATTCTCTGGGAGAAAAAAAAAAAAACAAAACGACGAGAAGTCTGCAAATTAGGGTATGGAAAAGTATGGAATTTTGAAATTCCAAATGTTTAGGAACCCTGTAGAGGCGTACAACCGCAAGGCGCTAATTCTAGTTCTTACTTACATTCACCACTCCATACATGTCAGACAAGAGTACGAATGACACAGGTTTAAAAGGAGAAAAATGCAGTCATTTCTGGGCAGTGGAGTTTCACATGAAGCTATGTGAGCAGCTGAAAGTTCATGACTTGTTGCATCCTACGTACATAGTTGATGACTACTTACTGTACATACTTACAAACATATAACCTACCACACATTACATGCTTATATACTGAAGCTAAAGTCACATTCACATGCAGTGGGGGCCACTTTTAAATAAGGGAAAAGTAGAAATATTTTTGACATTTTCAATTACAGTACAAGTCCTCCAGTCAAGCAAGGGATGTGGTGGCAGTGAATTCTTAGTCAGAAGCAGTAGTACGAGGCACTCACATGGGAAAAGACCAGCTCAGACACACATTGGGAAATGTCAGCTTTGTTTAAGTGCTGAATGCATTTTAAATCAGCTTGAGTTATTCTTTTCCCCGCGTGTACATCCATATCAGTGTGTCAGTGATTCCCACAGAAAGTTATTAGTGAAGATTAAGTATGGGACTGTCCAAATGCCAAAACAAACAATGTGTACACAGTTTTGTTCTAGCTGCCATTTCGGCCATTTAATTTCAGAAACAGAAATAATGATAACTATATTGGCATTCCTTATGAGAACTTAAAGTGCACCTGACCTCACCATGCTGATTAAAGTTACCTGTAAATGTAGTGGAACAGCAGAAGAACAGGCAGCATGGAGGCAATGGGATGAGGGAAATAACCTGTTGTACAGAGCACCATGAAACAGGTTCATGTTTTAGCTCAACATTAGCTCATTAGCTCACGTTGTACTCAAACACAGACATGAAATCTTTATTCTGGTCAGGACCAGCAGGGAATCCCAGGAGTCATGCACCATGCTGAATGTTGAGTAACATCAATTAGATTTGCCCCAAAAAATCATGAAGAAACTTCCTCCCGCTCTATATGTAGTCAATTGGTGGTTCTTAGTATATCTGTCTATTGCCCAGTACTGTTTTGAAATAATCGTAGTAGTACTGGTAGTATTGAGATGTGTAACCGATTTTTTTCCAAAGTTTGATCAGCTAAATGGGAACACTCTAATTTCTGAGCACACGGTGAAGCTGTAGAATAAATATGTATGCCTTC